TTAAGTATGCCCAGTGCCCAACATGGGGCCAGAACTCACGACCCCAAGATCAAGAGTCATATGCTCTACCAACTGAGCCAGCCAGGCACCCATTTATTTTTTATTATTTGAAAAATGTTTAAAATAATTTTTAAAATTTTTTGGTGGTGGCCATCATAATGGGTGTGAGGTGATAACTGTCTCATTGTAGTTTTGATTTGCATTTCTTTAATGATTAGTAATGGTCGAGCATCTTTTCATATGCTTATTAGCTATTTGTGTATCTTCTTTGAGGAAATGTTTATTCAAGTCTTTTGGACATTTTAAAATCAGGTTATGTTTTTTATTGTTGAGTTGTAGGAGTTATTTACATAGTCTCAATATTCATTCCATATCAGATACATGATTTGCATATTTTTTCTCCTATTCCGTGTGTTGCCTTTTTACTCTCTTGATAGTTTTTTTTTTTTTAAGATTTTATTTTTAAGTAATCTCTATACCCAACGTGGGGCTTGAACCCACAATCCTGAGATTAAGAGTCACATGTTGTACTAACTGAGCAGCTAGGCGCCCTGATAGTGTTCTTTGATGCATAAAAGTTTCTAGTGATAAAGTCTAATTTATCTATTTTTTTTTTACTTTTGTTGCTTGTGCTTTTGATATATTCAAGAAATTGCCAAATTCATTCTCATGAAGTTTTCCTCCTATGCTTTCTTCTAGAGTTAACTAGTTTTAGTTCTTACATTTAGGAGTTTGATCTATATGAGTTAATTTTTATGTATGTCATAAAGTAAGGGTACAACTTCATTCTTTTGCTTGTGAATATACAGTTTTCGCTGTACCACTTGTTGGAAAAAACTGTCCTTTCCCCACTGAATTGTCTTGAAACCCTTGTTAAATCATTTAACTATACATGTGAGGGTTTATTTCTAGGCTCTGTCTTTTTCTTTCAGCCTGTATGTCTGTATTTGTGCCAGTACCATACTATTTTGGTTACTAGTTTGTGATAATGCATCATCATTTTAATGATGAGTACTTAAGTACATTCTTTATCCAGTATTAAAGGCAGTTATGAATGCTTGGGCTTGTAATAAAAGACATGCATAAAAGAGGTTTTGTGTTTTTAGGTTGGGTGCAATTTATTTTTTTATTCTTTATATATATTTTTAAGATTTTATTTATTTATTTGACAGCGAGAGAGACAGCGAGAGAGGGAACACAAGCAGGGGGAGTGGGAGAGGGAGAAGCAGGCTTCCCGCTGAGCAGGGAGTCTGATGCGGGGCTTGATCCCATGAACCTGGGATCATGACCTAAGCTGAAGGCAGATGCTTAACGACTGAGCCACCCCGGCGCCCTGAGAGCTTTTAAATTATGGATTCAATTTCCTAATATTTATGGGGCCATTCAAGTCATCTGTTTTGTATTGGGTCTATATTTTTTCAAGGAATTGGTCCATTTTGTCTAAGTTGTCAAATTTATGTTTGTTAGTTATTCCTAGTATTACCACTTCTGTCTCATTTCTTTGAGGTCTGTGGTGATAGTGTCTTTTCGGGTTTTTTTTTTTCCTCTCTTTTCATTTCTGATATTGGTAGTTTTTTGTTTGCTAGGCCTTGTCCATTTTTGGGATCTATTTAAAGAACCAGCTTTTGATTTTTTTTTAAACGATTTTTCTGTTTTCAAGTTCATTGGTTTACGTTGTCTATTCCTTCCTTTTGCTTGCTTTGGGTTTATTTTGAAGTGGAAGCTTTTGATGATTGACTTGACTTTTCCTCTTTTCCAGTGTAAGCATTTTAGTGCTATAAAATTTTCTGAGTACAGCTTTTGCTGTGTTCCACAAATTTTACTGTCTTGTATTTTAATTTGCATTTTAGTTCTGTGTATTTTTAATTTCATTTGAGACTTCTTTTTTGACTCATTGATTATTTAGAAATGTGTCATTTAGTGTCCAACTGTATGGTGATTTTCCTGTTATCTTACTGAGTTCTAGATTAATTCCACTGTAGTTGGAGAATGTAATCTATGATTTCATTCTTAAATTTGTTGAGGCTTAACGGCCCAGGATATATCCTATCTTGGTTTATATTCTGGGACACTTGGAAAGAATGTGTACCTGCTATTGTGGGTAGAGTGTTTGAGTAAATGTTAATTAGATCCTGTTGGTTGAGGGTGTCATTGAGATCTCTTATATCTTTGCTGATTTTCTAATTGTTCTGTCAGTTGAATGAGGGGTGTTGAAGTCTCCAGCTATAATTATTTTCTCCTTTCTGTTTTATCAGTTTTTGTTTAACAGATTTTGCAGCGCTCTTGTTTGGTGCATAGCTGCCAAATGTCTTCTTGGTGGCTTGAATATTATATAATGTGCTTTGTCTTTGGTCATTTTATTTGCTTTGGAGTTTACTTGATTATTATTAATACAGTTACTTTTGCTTGCCTTTGATCAGTGTATGATATATCTTTTTTCATCCTTTTACTTTCAACCTGTCTGTACTGTTACATTTGAAGCAACTTTTTTTTTTTTTGAAGCATTTCTTATAGACTGGGTCATGTTTTTTTGTTTGTTCTGCTAATCTCTTTTTACTAATTGGTATATTTAGACCATTTACATTTAATAAAATTGGTATGTTAGGGCTTAAGTCTGCTGTTTTCTTTTTCATTTGTTTGGGTTTCTGTTTCTCTATTTTTTTCTCTGCCTTCCTGTAGGTTATTTGAACATTTTTGAGAATTCCATTTTGAGGAGTGCCTGGCTGGCTCAGTTGGAAGAGTATGTGACTCTTGATCTTGGGGTTGTGGGTTTGAGCCCCAAATTGGGTGTAGGGATTACCAAAAAATATATATAAACTTAAAAAAAATAAATAAAAGTAAAATCTTAAAAAGAATTGCATTTTGATTTATATGCAATGTTTGCTGGTGTATCTCCTTGTATAGCTTTTCTGGTAATTGCTGGAGTGGGCATTGCATTATATATTATAACATCACAGTCTATGGGTGGTGTCATTTTACCACTTTAAGTGTTAACATCCTACCTCCCTTTAGTATCCCCATTCATAATTTAATTATGATAAATATTTCCTCTATATACATTCAGAAACATATCAGACAGTGTTGTATTTTTTGCTTCAACCACCAAATGTAATTAAGAAAACTCAAAAGGAGAAGGAAAGCCTATGGATTTTACCCATATTTCTGCATACTGTGTTCTTTTTTATTTCTTGATATATTCCAAAATTCCTTGTTTTATAATTTCTTCCCTGTTTGGAGAATTTTGTTTAGTCATTTTTTAAGGATAGGTCTGTTGGTTGCAAGTTCTCCTTAGTTTTACATCATCAGAGAGTGTGTTGATTTCCCCTTCACTCCTGAATGATATTTTCACTGGTTGTAGGATTCTGGGTTGACAGTTCTTTTTTCCCTACAACTTAAAGGATATTGTGCCGTGGTCTTTTTGCCTCCATGGTTTCAGGTGAAAAATCTGCTGTTGTTTGAATTATTTTTCTTCTGTAGGTAAGGTGTAATTTTTCTCTAGCTACTTCCAAAACTTTATCTTTAGTTTTTAGAAGTTTAATTATGATGTGTGTTAGAATGCATTTCTTTAGGTTTATCCTTTTGGGGTTTACTCAACTTCTTGAATCTGTGGGTTACATCTCTTGTCAAATTTGGGAAATTTTTAGACATTATTTTTCAGCCTTGCCCTCTTTTCTCTTCTCTTTCCCAGTACTGTAATGGATAATTTCTCGTGTTCTGTCTTCCATTTCACTGATTCTTTTCTTTGTTCTCTCCATTCTGCTGTTGAATCAACCCTTTTAAGTTTTTATTTCAGTTATATTTCAGTTCTAAAATATCTATTTGATTCTTCGTTATATCCTATTTCTTTGTTGAGACGGTTTCTTTGCTGAGGTTTTCAGTTTATTTATTTCAACTGTGTTAATAATTGTTGTATTTTTATCATGACTGCCTTTAAAATCTTAGATAGTTCTAACATTTATGTCGTATCGTTGTTATTTTTCATTCAGTTTGAGATCTTCTTGGTTCTTGGTATGATGAGTGATTTTCTTTCTTAAAATTGAAGTTTGAATATTTTTGTATTATGTGATATTGGATTTTTTTTTTTTTAAGATTTTATTTATGAGAGATAGAGAGCGAGAGAAAGTGCTCACACAAGCAGGGGAAGCAGCAGGCAGAGGGAGAAGCAGATTCTCTGCTGAGCAAGGAGCCTGATGTGGGACTCGATCCCAGGACCCTAGGATTATGACCTGAGCTGAAGGCAGATGCTTAACCAGCTGAGCCACCCAGGCGTCCCAGATGTTGGATCTTATTTTATATCTGTTTTAACGGGGCACCTGGGTGGCTCAGTCGTTAAGTGTCTGCCTTCGGCTCAGGTCATGATCCCAGGGTCCTGGGATCAAGCCCTGCATCGGGCTCCCTGCTCAGCGGGAAGCCTGCTTCTCCCTCTCCCGCTCCCCCTGCTTGTGTTCCCTCTCTCACTGTGTCTCTCTCTGTCAAATAAATGAATAAAACTTAAAAAAAAAATCTGTTTTAGTTGGCTTTCACTGACACCACTTTGGGAGAGGAAAGGAGAGTGCTGCTTTGTTATTGTTAAGTGGGGTTAGAATTCCAGTTATTTTGGGTTCTTTTTTGTATTTTCTAAATAAAATAAAAAAAGGATCTAAGTTATGTATGTTTGTTGCATGAGTAAAATGTATTAACCGATTTTGTGAGTGTGTGTTTGTTTTAGATTAACATTCTGTCACTATCACAAGCTTTTAAAAGTGAAGGCTGCAGATAGGATATAGTACTCCCTCTTCCATACTCTGTGAAGGCGGGGGGGTACTGAAGTACAGGGAATGTATGTTTTCACCAGTGTAAGAATTCAAGAAGAGAAATCTGGATATGAGCATATGGGTTTTCTAGCAAACTACTGGGATTTCATCCCTACCTGAGCCTTTCTTCCAGCTAACTTGGTGATGATGTTGATGATAAGAAAGGACTATCTTTCTTAAATGTATATTTCCATTTTTCTCTGATAGAAATGACATCAGATGTACCATCACTGGGTCCAGCCATTGCCTCAGGAAACCCTGGGCCTGGGATTCAAGGTGGAGGAGCCATTGTCCACAGGGCTATTAAGCGGCGACCAGGGTGAGTTTGGGTATCGTGTCATGAATGGCTCTCCTATAAGCCAGCCTGATTTAGTTAGTGACTGAATCCTCTTTGCTATGTCCAGCCCTCTCATTTCAGCTGGTTACTAACTACACTGCAGTCAGATACCTCTCTTTAGTCCCTGGATTTTTTTCCTTATACAGAATTGTTGTTTTTATCTATATATATATTTTTATAATACATATATATATTTTTTATATGCAGGGTTTTTTTAAAAAATATTTTTAATTTTATTTTTTATTAAGATTTTTACTTTAATTACTATATAATTGACATACAGTGTTATATTAGTTTCAGGTGTACAATATAGTGACTCAGCAATTCTATACATCGTTACTCAGGTGCTCATCATGACAGGTGTACTCTTAATCACCTTCACCTATTTCACCCATCCCCCCCACCTTCTCTCTGTTATGCTTTATTTTAAATGAGTACCCTCAAAGTTATTTTTTTTTTCAACAAGAGCATTTCTTATTTGAAACATACTTCAGGATGCATGGTTTTAAAAGATATATGTAAAACATTCCATCCAAGAAAAATAGAATACACATTTTCTTCAAGTACACACAGAAGAATCCCCTGGTTAAATCACATAAAAAGAAGCATAACAAATATTACAAATTTAAGAAGACTGAAATCATACCAAGTGTATTTTCCAGCCACAATGATACAGAACTAAAGATCAACAATAAAGCTGGAAAACGTGCAATGTAAATATTAAATATTTAATATTTAAAAAACAACACATTACTGCACAAGCCATGGGCCAAATAAATCAAACAGCAAATCAAAATATGCCTCAAAACAAAAGAAAACAATATTCTAAAACCTATGGGAGGCAGTGAAAACAGATGTTAGAATGAAATTTATGCTATAAATGCCTGTATTAAAAAACTCAAGGTAACATTATAGCACAAGGAACTAGAAGATGAAGAAACAGCTGACATTTAGTAGAGGAGGGAAATAACAAAGAAAAATCAGAAATAAGAGACCATAATAAACAATAACATAACATTGAAAGTAATGACCAGTTTTTACAAAAAAAAAATAAACAAAATTGGCAATGCTTTAATTACATTAAGGAAAAAAAAGGAGACTCAGAAACCAAAATGAGAACCAAAATGGAAGGGAAACAATACAGTAGATAACCACAGAAATACATAGTGTGATAACAGATTATTATAAATAATTATGTTCTAACAAATCCGATAACTTAGGAAAAAAACATAATTTCTAAAAATGCACAAGTTACCAAGATTGAATCATGAATCTAAGAAGTAGAAAATCTTATTAAACCAGTAACATGAATGAAAGTTGAATTAGGAATCGAAAATTTCCCAGCACAAAGAAACCTAAGGCACATGGCTTCATTAGCGAACCCCACAAAAATTTAAAAAATAATAACAGTCTTTATCAAAATCTTACAAATAATGGAATAGAGGTATTACATTCAGTCATTCCATGGGGCTAATACTACCCTGATACCAAAGCAGGACTAAAACAATACAAGAATCTAGAAGTCTACTTTGTCTTTCTATTGCTACTCTGACTTTCTTTGACATCTATTTGTGTGATGTTTCTCCACCCCCTCACTTTCAATTAGCAGGTGTCTTTAGGTCTAAAATGAGTGTGTTATAGGTAGCATATAGTTGGGTCTTGTTTTTTTAATCCATTCTGACACCCTATATCTTTCGATTGGAGTGTTTAGTCCATTTTCATTCAAAGTAATCATTGATATGTATTTATAACTATTTTATTACTTGTTCTGTCGTTTCTGGAGATTTTCTCTGATCCTTTTTTTTTTTTTTTTAAAGATTTTATTTATTTATTTGAGAGAGAGAATGAGATAGAGCATGAGAGTGGGGAGGGTCAGAGGGAGAAGCAGACTCCCTGCCGAGCAGGGAGCCCGATGCAGGACTCGATCCCGGGACTCCAGGATCATGACCTGAGCCAAATGAAGGCAGTCGCCTAACCAACTGAGCCACCCAGGCGCCCTCTCTGATCCTTTCTTGTCTTTGTCACTTTCAGTCTCTCCTTTGCACTCAAAGAGTCCACTTTAATATTTCTTGCAGTCCTGGTTTAGTGGTCACGAACTCCTTTAGTTTTTGTTTGGGAAGTATTCTTGGCTGCAGATTTTTCCCATTCAGCACTTTGAATATATCATGCCACTCTCTTCTGGCTTGCCAAGTTTCTGTCGAGAAATCTCCTGTAGCCTTACAGGTTTTCACTTTTAAGTTAGGGACTTCTTTTGTCTTGCTGCTTTTACAATTTTTTTCTTTATCAGTATAGTTTGTGTATTACTCTCATAAGTAAATAAGTAAATCTTTTTTTTAAAGATTTATTTATTTGGGAGAGAGAGGGAGTGCATGCACGTGGGTGTGGGGCAGAGGGAGAAAATCTCCGATGAGCTCAGAGCCTGATTCAGGGGTCTGTCCCATGACCCATGGCCTGAACCGAAACCAAGAGTCGGACACCCAAGCAACTGAGCCACCCAGATGCCCCAAGTAAATAAATAAATCTTTAAAAAAAAAAAAAAAAGCCTGGGAGAATGGGTAGTATTTTGTCCCATTTTTTTGTTGATAAATTTCTCTTTTTGCTTTCTTTTTAAAAATTGTGTGGCTAAGGGGCACCTGGATTTCCAGTTTGATTTCATCTTGGGTCATGAGATGGAGCCCTGCCTTGGGGCTCTACACTGGGCCTGGAGCCTGCTTAAGATTCTCTGTTTCCCTCTTTCTCCTTCCCCTACTCACACATGCCCGCTAGCTTTCTCTCTCTCTCTCTCAGAAAGAAAAATTGTGTAGCTAATATAGCTAGTCTTTAAATTTCACCAGCTAATAATAATGCAAGAGTGATTCTTGAGTTTAGGTGGTAACATGAGTAACATATTAAGACTTGCTGTGTCTCCAAGAGTTTTACACATTTTAACTCATTGAATAAGTAGCTTACTGAAGGTTCTAAAGCCAGTAAGTGGAAGATCTTTGATACGAACCTTGGGAGGTTAGCTTTAGAGTTCACTCTCTTAAACACAGTGTTAAGGTTATGTGTAATAACAAACAATTAGAAGCATTATAAATATCAAAATTGGGATTGATTGAGTAAATTATAGTATATTTGAAATGGAATACTGTACAGCCATTGGAGGTGACAGGTATGTATCAGTACAGAAAAATGTTCACAGTATGTTGGGAGGTTATGGTTTATGTAACATACTACTCTGTCAGAAAGAAATATGTGTAATGTGCATAGCAAAACTGAAAGGATACTCATCAATTTCTGGATGATGAGATAGTGGGAGACTTGTCTTTATTTTCAGATTTTCTGAAATGAATGGGTATTATTGGTAATCAGGAAAATACACTAAAAGAGGTAATACACAGGGTCGCCTGGGTGGCTGTCATTAAGCGTCTGCCTTTGGTCATGATCCCTGGGTCCTGGGATCAAGCCCCACATCGGACTCCCTGCTCAGTGGGAATCCTGCTTCTCCCTCTCCCACTCCCCCTGCTTGTGTTCCCTCTCTCGCTGTGTCTCTCGCTGTCAAATAAGTAAATAAAATCTTAAAAAAAAAAAGTAATACACATTCTTTATTTTTAATTGAATTAATTTTTTAAAATTCAGTTAATTAACATATAATGTATTATTGGTTTCAGAGGTAGAGGTCAGTGATTCATCAGTCTCATATAATACCCAGTGTTCATTATATCACATGCCCTCCTTAATGTCCATCACCCAGTTACCCCATCTCCCCACCCCCTTCCCTCGAGCAACCCTCAGTTTCCTACAATTGAGAGTCTTTTATGGCTTGTCTCCCTCTCTGATTTCACCTTGTTTTATTTTTTCTTCCCTTCTCCTATGATCCTCTGGTTTGTTTCTTAAGGTTTTTTTGTTGTTGTTGTTGTTTTTTGACAGAGAGATAGAGGGCACAAGCAGGGGGAGCAGCAGGCAGAGGCAGAGGGAGAAGCAGGCTTTCTGCCGAGCAGGGAGCCCAACTTGGGGCTTGATCCCAGGACCCTGGGATCATGACCTGAGCTGAAGGCAGACGCTTAACCGACTGAGCCACCCAGGCACCCCTGTTTTGTTTCTTAAATTCCACATATCAGTGAGATCATATGATAATTGTCTTTCTCTGATGGACTTATTTTGCTTAGCATAATACTGTCTAGTTCCATCCACGTCGTTACAAATGGCCAAGATTTCTTTCTTTTTTTTTGATGGCTGAGTAGTATTTCATTGTATATATACCACATCTTTATCCATTCATCTGTCAGTGGACATCTGGGCTCTTTCCATAGTTTGGCTATTGTGGACAGTGCTGCTATAAACACTGGGGTGCAGGTGCCCCTTCAGATCACTACATTTGTATCTTTGCACCCAGTAGTGCAATTGTTGGGTCGTAGGATAGCTCTATTTTCACCTTCTCGAGGAACCTCCAAACTGTTTTCCAGAGTGGCTGCACCAGCTTGCATTCCCACCAACAATTTCTCTTTCTCCACATCCTCGCCAACATCTGTCATTTCCTGACTTGTTAATTTTAGCCATTCTGACCACTGTGAAGCGGTATCTCATTATGGTTTTGATTTGTATTTCTCTGATGCCGAGTGATGTTGAGCATTTTTTCATGTGTCTGTTGGCCATTTGTATTTCTTCTTTGAAGAAATGTCTGTTCACGTCTTCTGCCCATTTCTTGATTGGATTATTTGTTCTTTGGGTGTTGAGTTTGATAAGTTCTTTATAGATTTTGGATACTAGCCCTTTATCTGATATGTCATTTGCAAATATCTTCTCCCATTCTGTCATTTGTCTTTTGGTTTTGTTGACTGTTTCCTTTGCTGTGCAAAAGCTTTTTATTTTGAAGAAGTTCCAGTAATTCATTTTTACCTTTGTTTCCCTTGCCTTTGGAGATGTGTCTCGCAAGAAGTTGCTTCAGCCAAGGTCACAGAGGTTGCTGCCCGTGTTCTCCTCTAGGATTTTGATGGATTCCTGTCTCACATTTAGGTCTTTCATCCATTTTGAGTTCATTTTTGTGTATGGTGAAGGAGTGGTCTAGTTTCATTCTTCTGCACGTGGCTGTCTAATTTTCCCAGCACCATTTGTTAAAGAGACTTTTTTCTTTCTTTTTTTTTTTTTTTTTAAGATTTTTAATTTATTTATTTGACAGAGAGAGAGAGCACAAGTAGGCAGAGTGGCAGGCAGAGGGAGAGGGAGAAGCAGGCTCTCCACTGAGCAGGGAGCCCGACCTGGGGCTCAATCCCAGGATCCTGGGATCATGACCTGAGTCGAAGGCAGCCATTTAACTGACTGAGCCACCCAGGCGCCCCTGAGACTGTCTTTTTTCCATTGGATATTCTTTCCTGCTTTGTTGGAGATCAGTTGACCATAGAGTTGAGGGTCCATTTCCGGGTTCTCTTTTCTACTGATCTGTGTGTCTGTTTTTGTGCCAGTACCATACTGTCTTGATAATTACAGCTTTAAGTCCAGAATTGTGATGCCGCCAATTTTGGTTTTCTTTTTCAACATTCCTTTGGCTATTTGGGGTCTTTTCTGGTTCCATACAAATTTTAGGATTATTTGTTCCAACTCTGTGAAAAAAGTTGGTGGTATGTTGATAGGGATTGCATTGAATGTCTGGATTGTTCTAGGTAGTATAGACATGAGTATGGAACATTTTTCCATTTCTTTATGTCTTTCTCAGTTTCTTTCATGAGTGTTCTGTAGTTTTCTGAGTACAGATTCTTTGCCTCTTTGGTTAGGTTTATTCCTAGGTATTCTATGGTTTTGTTGTAAGTGGGATTGACTCCTTAATTTCTCTTTCTTCTGTCTCATTAGTACACATTATAAAGATTGGAAAATAGTAAGAAAGAAGAATAGCAATAATCCTACTATCTCCTATCAGTTTTTTAGTATAATTTCTTCATTCTTTATATGTAGATCTTTTTAGTAGTTGTAATCTATAATTATATAGTTTTATATAGCCTGGTCTTTTCACCTAACCATATATAACCTTTTTTTCATATTATTAAATATTTTATAGAAACATTTTTAAATTACATAAAGGGATGTATTCAGTTCCTATTTTGGAATATTTAAGTTGTTTTGAAGATTTTGCTATTATGTAATGCTCGGTGAACATCTTTATACATAAATTTTTTCTCTCTTTTGAGTTATTTTCTTTTTTTTTTTAAGGATTTTATTTATTTATTTGACAGAGAGCGAGAGCAAGAACACAAGCAGGGGGAGTGGGAGAGGGAGAAGCAGGCTTCCTGCCAAGCAGGGAGCCCAATGTGGGACTCAATCCCAGGACCCTGGGATCATGACCTGAGCCGAAGGCAGACGCTTAACGCTGAGCCACCCAGGCGCCCTTGAGTTATTTTCTTTAGGGTAGATTCATGGAAACGGAGTTATTGGGTAGATTTTGACAAGTACTTAGGGGGCTACAGTGAGGAAGAGGAATGAACACTTTCAGAATTGACACTGTGTACTTCATATGTAATCCATCTAGAGACCCAGAATGTGAGGTTATGAGGCCAGTAGAGATGCCAAGAGTGATCACTGGGTTAAGGTGGTAACATTTTAGTTTAATAGGAGATTGGCCTACCTTGTTACCTATAATCTTCCCTAATCCCTTGAAATGAAAGTCACTGCTGCTTTCACTAAATGTCTTATAGCATATTGCTTGTGCTCCTCACATGGCACTTTCCTATTCTCATTTGTTTTATATTTGTATTTGTCTAGGTAGAGGGTCCCTTGAGGGCAAGTCTCTTGTTTTCCTCTCATCTAGCATTGTCTTGAATGTATCATATATTACATATATATTAGATATGTGATGTAAAGAAGCATTAATTAATAACCTTCTGAGTAAATTGCTCCCTTATGTGTAACATCACTGTTTTGGAATAAGTTTCAGAAATCTAGTAACATACTTTAAACTGTAGAATTGAAAAATGGACCTGACTTATTCATATTAATTTTTTAATTTCATTTTTGAGTGGATTCCTGTACCTTTGGTAGAGGTTGTACTCTGATATAAAACTTTGGCAAAAGTGGACTGCCAACTTAGGAAAATGTAAGGTAGCAGTGGGCACTCTTTTGACTGCCCAGTTTGGTACAAGGGGGAAGTCACATATCTTCATTTGACTTCTGTCCACTTCTTGTTCCTTCTTCCATTTGGGTGGGTGTTCAGATAGTTTGTGGGTAGAGAATTTTTAATTTCTTAGTGTTCTGTATTGTCAGTGGGCTTTTAATATTTATTGTTGGCTTTTCCCAGGTTGGATTTTGATGATGATGGAGAAGGGAACAGTAAATTTTTGAGGTAAGATTTTTTAATTTTTTCTCTAGATTTCTGATACTAAAAATTAGTTCATGATCTTTATTTCTGACTTGTAATATTTTTGTCCTTAGGCCTAAGGTGAGTGCTGTATCCTAAAACTAAAGTTTCCTGTTGTATTATACCTCATAAAGTTTTCAAGCATTTTGTTAATGTAATGGTTCCAGAGGAAGGAGCTCAGTGAAGAGAGGGCAGAGAATTTCCAAGACCCTTTGTTACAGTTAGTTGCTGTGTGATTTAAAAACAATAACAATTTTTTATTTCTCAAATGCTGTGCATTGGCTGGATGGTTATTCTGTTTTCTTTGTGGTCTTTTATCCTTAAGGAGGTCAAACAATTTCTTTACATGCCAATGGCTACAATCTGAAAGGCAAGACCCAGTCTTAAGTGCTTATCAAGCCTCTGCTTTGTATTGATATTTGCTGGTGTTCCATTGGCCAAAGTAAATTTTATGTCCCAAGTCCTGAATCAGTGTGTTAGGAGGCTAAGGTGTAATTCATTGGGGGGTCATATACCTTTCATACTTTCTGATACCTGTTGACTTCTACAGAGCAGGAATTAGAATTTGTATCCTTGAATAATGAATCTTCTGGAGCACTGAATATGGACTTTTTGCTATATTAATGGAGGAGTTCTTTCAGAGAAGGGAAATACTTATTCCTGCTAAAGACCAAAGCAGTAAGAGTCAAAGAAAGGGAGATAACCTGGACTGCAACTTGCTGTTTTTCCTTTCCAAAGTTGAAAATATTACCTAGGCGGGTCTACTTTGTTGAGTAACAAATATTTAATAAATAAAGAGCCCTATTTAAAAAAAAAGCTTATTATGTGAGTGTTCAGATTTCATTTGTCATATTTTTTTTTTTAAGATTTTACTTATTTATTTGACAGAGAGAGACACAGCAAGAGAGGGAACACAAGCAGGGGGAGCGGCAGGGAGAGGGAGAAGCAGGCTTCCCGCAGAGCTTGGAGCCCGATGCGGGGCTTGATCCCAGGACCCTGGGACCACAAAACCTAGTAGTCACAAACTATATGCAGATCCAGAAAGGTTCATTTGTTCTTTCCCCAACCATAATGACCTGAGCCAAAGGCAGATGCTTAACGACTGAGTCTGGGTGGCTTCATTTGCTTTATTAACTAGATCTTAAAAAGTAATATATTTTTTAAGTTTTTAAACAGTGAAAGTAGTTATGTGTAGTGCAGGTATGTCTTCCTTTCACTTCAGACCCTTTCCCTTAGACAGCTACAGTTCCCAGTTTATTGAGTATCCTTTTAGAAATTTTAGTACATATGTAAGTGTATGTACTAAATATGTACACACATATTTAAATGTATATGTGTGTACATACATTCATAATGTCCTAAGTTTTTGTTTTTGTATGGAGGATGTCCATATTGTAAATTCCTTGCCATTGTTTAGTTTTATAATGCTTAAGTTCCATCAGAGACATCTTTTTTTTTCATTTTAGTAAATTTTATTTAGGCTTATATTTCTCACTACTAACTAGTTGCTGAGTCCTACCAGATATTCTTGAAAACAACTGTAACTTGGCTACCGTAAAGAAATAGTTGCAGAACATTGGAGAAAATAATTCTCCAAGAGAGCTCTTGAGACTTAATGAGTATTAATAAATGTGAAGAGGGGAAGATATTTCAATTTTGGGGGAAGGATAGACCTTTTTTTTTTTAAGATTTTATTTATTTCTTTGTCAGAGAGAGAGAACAAGCACGGGGAGCAGCAGGCAGAGGGAGAAGCAGGCTCCCCGCCGAGCCTGATGCCGGACTCCATCCCAGGACCCTGGGATAATGACCTGAGCTGAAGGCAGGCACCCAACTAACTGAGCCACCCAGGCATCCCAAACTGTTTTTCAAACAGTTCTGGGAATTCTTCCAATTGGGAATCCATAATTGTAATGATAGATGCTATTGGTGGAACTGTATTGTGCATATGAATGGCATAGAAGTAACCACTAGTCTTTTTTTTTTTTTTTTAAGATTTTATTTACTTATTTGACAGCGAGAGAGAGAGACAGCAAGAGAGGGAACACAAGCACGGTGGAGTGGGAGAGGGAAAAGCAGGCTCCCCGTGGAGCAGGGAGCCCGACAAGGAGCTCGATCCCAGGATCCTGGGATCATGACCTGAGCCGAAGGCAGATGGTTAACCGACTGAGCCACCCAGGCACCCCGCTGCTAGTCTTATTTATTAAATATTTCTCAGTTAGCTCTGGCCCTGAGTCATTGTCTTTATTTCCACAAAACCTAGTAGTCACAAACTATATGCAGATCCAGAAAGGTTCATTTGTTCTTTCCCCAACCATAAAAAAAGACTGTCACAATTCATTTTACCTAGTGGGTCATTATGCCCGAGAGAGGCATCACCAAATTTCTTTATCTTTTTTTTTTTTAAAACAATTGGAATTTTCCACTCTGGTCAGTGTGTGAAAGCCTTACTTGCATTGTATCCCTAAGTCAGCACTAAATCTCCTTGGTTGATGCTACTTTTGAAAGTTGTAATTTGGTCTGGGTTGACTCAGTTGGTAGAGCATGCATCTCTTGATCTTGGGGTTGTGAGTTCAAGCCCCACATTGGGCCTAGAGATTACTTACCAAAAAAATGTAATTCAGTAGGCCTGGGGTAGGGCCCAAGGTTCTGTGTTCTGCTTCATTTCTGGAATCTGCTTCCAGCCACTGACCATACTTTCAGTAGTAAGGATCTAGAAGACTCATTCTTGAGATTCAAAGTTAACATATAAATTATAGGTCTCTCTTTTCAGTTTAGGTTACATGTTTTCACTAGGAGTTAGTAGCATCTGATTTAAAGCATATTTTGTGTCCTAGGAACAGACCATTTGTACTTGAGCTGGAATTCAGTTACATCTCCATTTTTGCCCATTCTTCTCTTCTGTTATTTTCAAAAATTGAAAATTCTTGGGGTTGGATTACTTGAGGATTTACAGCCTGTGAAGGAGCAGTATAAATTTTGGTTCTAATTTAATAACTGGCTTAACTGCAAATTTTGTGACACTTACCTATCTCCCAAAAGCACTTTCTGTCCAGAGTTGATAGATCTTTGCTATATCCTGTGGCAGTGAGAAGAGGAAAATTTAGATCATCCAGAGAGTAGAGTAATGTTTTTAAAGTTAGGTTTTCCTCCTTCAACAAATCCTGTAGTTTCTTTCTTTAGCAGATATGATTTATTGGCTTATTAAGTAGAAGTTGTTGGGATGAATGGATTGTGTTTCCTTGATTAGAGAGATAAAGAACATTGTTCATGTCATAATATAAAACTATCTCTTAAAAATTTCTGTGCATCAAAGAAAACAGTGAAAAGATAACCCATGTAATGGGAGAAAATATTTGCAAATCATACATCTGATAAGAGGTTAATATCTATAATATATGAAGAACTACCATAACTCAATAATAAAAAAAAACAGCCTGATTAAAAATTGACAGATGACTTGGAATAGACGTTTTTCCAAAGAAGGTATGCAAAAGGCCAACAAGCATGTGAAAAGATGTTCAACATCACTAATCGTTAGAGAAATGAAGATTGAAACTACAGTGAGATACCACCTCACACCCATGATGAGGGCTACCATCAAAGAAACAGAAAATAAATGTTGGGTAAGGATGTGAAAAAGAAGGAACCCTTATGCACTGTTGGTCAGAATGTAAATGGTAAACTTAACTACTGGAAAACAGTATGGAGATTCCTCAGAAAACTAAAAACAGAATCATCGTATGATTCAGCAGCCCCACTTCTGTTTATAAATATCTAAAATAATTGAAAACAGGGTCTTAGATATTTACACACTCATGTGCACTGCCCCATTTTCCCAATAGCCAAGAGGTGGAATCAACCCAGATATTCACTGGCAGATGAATGCATAAAGAAAATGTGGCATATATGTCCAATGGAATATTGTTCAGCCTTAAAAAGGAAGGAAATCCTGGCATATGCTACAACATGGATGAATGTTGAGGACATTATACTAAGTAAAATAAGCCAGTCACAAAAAGAGACTATATAATTTCACTTATATGAGGTATCTAAAGTAGTCAAAATTAGAGATTGAAAGTACAGTGATGGTTACCAGGAGCTGGGGGTTAGGTGGGGAGCAGATGGGAAGATGATGTTTAGTGTATATAGAGTTTCAGTTTTGCAAGATTAGAAAGTTCTATAGATCTGTTGCACAACAATGTAAATGTAGTTAACACTACCGAATTGTACTCTAAAAATTGGTTAAGATGGTCAATTTTATGTTCCTTGTTTTTCTGCCATAATTAAAACTATCCCCAATCTCAGAGTGGTGCTGACAGGGCAGTCCGTTGTGCCCTCATGAGATCATCCTCTTTTTTTTGGAGTGTCTCATAAGTAAAGGTAAAGGAGAACATCGGAAACCTGACAAATAATAGTCATGGGTCTCTTAAGTTCTTTGGGATGGTATTACTATCTCTGTCGCTTTTGATGGTTTTCCATTGGCTTTTTTTTTTTCTGTTGAATATTTTTACTCCTTTCTAGTTTTTATTTCAGAGGAAGTAGATATAACAAGTATAATGCTTTGGGCTAATCTTATTTTTCTTTCTTAGGTGTGATGATGATCAGATGTCTAATGATAAGGAGCGGTTTGCCAGGTAATGTAGTAGAGCATCTTGGGCCATGTTGTGGAACCAGGCAGTTCAAGTGTATTGAGTTTAATTTGATCTCATTAGGAGTTAATTTCTCTGTCAGTCTTCTTCCTTACTCTGAAAGCTGACAAAATTTAGTATGACAGTTACTGTTTATGTTCAGTTAACATGACTTCAGACTGATGGTACAGTTTATACAGTGTTTTTACATAAAAAATGGTAGGCAGCCTATGGTAGGCAGCTATACAGTGTGCTTGCTGGGTGTCCACAGGAACACAAGTTATGGATTTCATGGTTGTATTTATTATTAAATGGGTCCACAAAATCTATACAGGTAATAGTTTTCCTTTAAAAATGGCAACAGAAATAATTTTTGTGGAGATGAATTTTGATTTTAATAAATTTATTTAAATTTTGTGAAGATTATGAAAAATACTTCGCTTTTCATCAACTCAGATGTACAAAATTGAGAAGGATTTATGAATAAAAAGCAAGATTTTTTTTAGAAAGTTCATTCTGTATTTTTTTAAAAAGTACATTTGTTTTTTTAAAATTTTTTTTTTTTTTAAAAATAAATATTTATAATAAATATTTATTATAAATAAATAAAATTTATTTTAATAAATAAGGGGTGGCAGGCAGAGGGAGGAGCAGACTCCCTGCTGAGCAGGGAGCCCGACGCGGAACTTGATCCCAGGACCCCGGGATCATGACCTGAGCCGAAGGCAGATGCTTAACCGACTGAGCCACCCAGGCGCCCAAATTAGTCTGTTTTGTAAAAAGTGAGTTTGCAGCCACCTCAGAAAAATGAATAATCAAAAATCCAGAGCTTAACTGAGTTCTTATATTTATTGCTGATGTTGCTAGTCTGGGAACCAAACCTTGAGAACCACTGATGTAGAGGGCTAATACCAGTCAGAGTAGCTTATAACTATCTGAAGCAGTAAGATGCCATCATGGGCTTTGAATAAGAGATTTTAATAAATAAAATGCATATGGGATTTTCTTTAGTAGCAGTGTATAGGATTGATTAAAAAGAAGCACAATAGTCAGGGAGGTAGATGCAAGGGTGAATAATAAGATAGCTATAAAATGATGAGTGCCTGGGCTGGAGTGGAAGCAATGGCAATAGGAAAGGAGGGAATTCAAGAGATTTTCAAGTAATTTATTTATTGAAATAGATAGTTATAAATACTTTAGGGTATAAACCGTCTCTAAAATGAGAAGTTAATTATAGATACTTGGGGAATAGTTTCTGAAGCTGCGTTGGAAAGTCAGGCCATCCTGGGCACCTGGCTGGCTTAGTCAGTAGAGCATGCAGCTCCTGTTCTTAGGGTCCTGAATTCAGGCCCCACGTTGGATGTAGAGATTGCTGAAAGAAAGAGAAAGAAAGAGAGGAAAGAAAAGAAAAGAAAGATAGATAGAAAGGTAGTCAAGCCATCAAGTAGTACTGGTCATACAGGTTAACAGTCTCTTGACTGAAATTCCAAAAAGCTATGAAGACATGACCTGAATTATTTTAGTCTTCATTTGTTGTACTTAGTATAAATATTTATACATTCACATATTTCATTCAGAAATACTAGAGTGGTTAAGGGATTATGGATTTGTAGTAGTAGTAGTAATAATAGGAATTTTAGATATTTAACTTTCTTTCAGACAACTTAGATTGTGCCAATTCACCTCACATATTCTTCTTGGGAATTCAGTAGGTCTATAAAGCTGAAAATGTATCTATTTTCTCAATTCTTTGAAAAAAGGATTTGTAGTTTGTTAAGGAACCATAATAACCAATGAACATGAAACTTTACTGAATATAAGGCAATTCTCTTGTGTTTCTCATCAGTATAGGTAAATTTCATATTTATGTTCTTATTACTGTGTTATTTTGGGTCTCTTTTTTTCCTGTTTCCCAGGTATTGCTATTCATTGTACATGTCTTTTTTTTTTTTTTTTTGAGATTTATTTATTTTAGAGTGAGAAAGAGAACAAACAAGTCAGTGAGCATGGAAGGGAGGGGTAGGGGGAGAGAGAGAGAGAATCCCAAGCAGGCTCCACCAACCACAGAGCCTGTCATGGAGCTCCGTCTCACCATCCTGAGATCATGACCTGAGCCAAAACCAAGATTCGGACGCTTAACCGACTGCGCCACCCAGGTGCCTCTGTACCTATCACTTTTAATAATGAAATAGTGTTTCAGCCTGTTAATATATCATGCTTACTTAGACATATTTGAGGCTTCTTAATCTATATCTATATATATTGTTTTTAATGGAATTGATTACTGATATACTGGCCTACCAACACCTTGATGTTTCTTCAGTTGCCACCAACCCTTATAGTTCTCAGTTTTCCAGAAAAACTTAATGGTAATCCTTTGTAGCCCCCTCCAGGAGAGGGGGAGTTGACAGTGGGGATCCAGCAGTTTTGGAGCTTTACTGCAAAGAAATGGGAGAGTGAATAAATAGAAATTTACTACTTTAGTATCCAGTCAGTGGTAGGGGATGTGCCAGAAATCTAATTCTTAAGTTTTATTTATGTAATTTATCCAGTGAAACCTGTTAGGTTATTTTGTCTATGAGAGCATATGTGTGTGTCTGCGTGTTAACAGAGAGATTGTATTTGTGATCATTTGTTTAACATTCTTACCATGATTTACTCTTTGGTTTTTTATTATAGAATAGCATATGTGGGGGCACCTGGGTGGCTCAGTTGGTTAAGTGGCCAACTCTTGATTTTGGCTTAGGTTGTGATCTCGGGGTCCTGGCATCAAGCCCCACGTCAGACTCTGCTCTTAGTAGGGAGTCTGCTTGAGTATTCTGTCTCTCCCTCTCCCTCTGCACCTTCCCCCCTCTCTCAAATAAATAAATAAATCTTAAAAAAAAAAAAAAAGAATAGCATATGTGGATATCATTTTATTTCCAGATTGGGAGCAGTGTGTGAGAATGGTATTCCCTCGTTTGGTTCTTGTTCAAACTATATATTGTTGGTCTGTATAGAGATTGATTGGCAAAATGCTTTCTGTGTTCAGACTGTGTTAATTTATAATGAATATTGGCCTTGCTTTTATGTCAGCCTTTGTCCTGTGAGTTACTTTTTTTTATCCTAACAAATGGCTTTGTAGAGTTATGGGCAAGGTTCCTGTCCATATTTTAATTTTCCCTTCTCTGCATCTATTTTGTTCTATTTCCTTTTTCCTTTCCTTTCCCCTCTACTTCCTTGCATCAATCCATCCATCCATCCCTCTTTTTTTCTTTCTTTTTATTTTAATTTTAGCTTAGTTCATTAATTCTATTTTTAGGTCGGATGATGAGCAGAGCTCTGCGGATAAAGAGAGACTTGCCAGGTAGGAGAACAGTGTCTTTCAGCATGATGAAGCAGATGATGCTGCTTTTTCCTTTTTCTTACTCTGCTCTTTTTTCCCCTTTCTCTTTGTGTTTTTCCTTATCTGTGGCAAGAGAGGACAAGATTTATTAGAAGTTTGTGTGTAACAGGAACTTTGGCCTCCCCCATCAGAAAGTGGGTGAGTTGAGGGAACTTTACTAAGGAATTTAAGAAATTGCTATTAGTTTTATAGTTTTCTCTTTTCCTCTTTATCTCAGCACTGTTTCACAGAATAAAAGGCTTTAGAAGCAGGGCAGTGGTGCCAGTTGGTGCTTTAGTAGGGGCATACTTTTTTATCAGAAGACTAATAAATATATTTGTGTTTGCACTTGGTTCCCAATATTTAGGCCTTAGCATTTATTCTGTACCTCTCTAGAAAGCACACCCTTATTTTCCTGTGTAGACTCACAGGCTAGATTACTGTGTCATACAGTACTGGTCTTGCTTTGGTGATTGAATCTTTTATGGTTTTCCAGAAAAGTTTTAGCAGTCTTGATGTGGCTTTTTAAAAGAGTAGCCTTCTGGACTTCGGTGTCAGAAATCTGTCAGATACTAGGAGGATGGGTGCTTTAAGTTTGAAAGTAGAATTTTATGTTTCTCAGGCAAATTAACAAATACAAACTTACGTGGTGAGATCTTTTTGCCATTTGGAAAGGAGACTCTAGAGTTCTCTTTGGAGACTATTGTCAATAAGGTAGAAATACTAGGATACTAATGGTGTGCCCAAATTTTTCTATTTTCTTGCTTCTGTGATTTGGGACCATTCAGTAGGAGATAGATCATTGATACCAATACCTGTTTTTACTACTTTACCCCCTCATCTCATTACCTTTTTCAGCGCGGCCACAAGCTCATTTTGTTGTCATTTCCTGCTAACTCTTTAAGGCTTCAGAAAGCTGATTTGGCATGGTATGGTGGGAAAACCATTGCATTAATTGGGAATGAATGCTGCCTTTGGGAAAGTCATTTAGTTAACTTCTTAACCTTAATTTTTCTCATGAAGAGATTTATGTTAGACCAGTTGTTTTTATTTTTCTTTTTGTTTTGACAAAGAACTTTTATTCAGATAGGATCCTTAAGTGGTAATGGAAGTGAATAAAAAAGATAAAGCAAAAGCTGCTCAAGGAGAAGCAGAAATGCAGCGTGTTGTTTCGTTCTTTCTTTGAGGCATCCTCGTAGAAGACACTGAGGAACTATGGGGCTTTTTAGAAATCCAACTTGAAAACTACTGGATTATTATGGAGATGTGATCCACGTACCCTGTTGAGATCCAAATTGTCTGTTTTCAGGCCTTTTTGTCCCCACTCCACTTTTACTCTCTAATTCATTTTGCTCCAGCTGGGGACCCAGAAGGGACCGCTAGTAGATATCTTTTTTTTTAAATTTAATTTTATTATGTTATGTTAGTCACCATACAATACATCATTAGTTTTTGACATAGTGATCCATGATTCATTGTTTTCCTATAACACCCAGGGCTCCATGCAGTACGTGCCCTCCTTAATACCCATCACCGGGCTAACACATCCCCCCACCCCCCCTCCCCTCTAGAACCGTGTTTATTTCTCAGAGTCCATAGTCTCTCATGGTTCATCTCTCCCTACGATTCCCCCCCATCATTTTTCCCTTCCTTCTCCTAGTGTCCTCCATGCTATTCCCTATGTTCCACAAATAAGTGAAACCATATGATAATTGACTTTCTCTGCTTGACTTATTTCACTTAGCATAATCTCCTCCAGTCCCATCCATGTTGATGTAAAAGTTGGGTATTCATCCTTTCTGATGGCTGATTGATATTCCATTGTATATATGGACCACATCTTCTTTATCCATTCATCTGTTGAAGGGCATCTCGGCTCTTTCCACAGTTTGGCTATTGTGGACATTGCTGCTATGAACACTGGGGTGCATATAGCCCTTCTTTTCACTACATCTGTGTCTTTGGGGTAAATACCCAGTAGTGCAATTGCTGGGTCATAGGGTAGCTCTATTTTTAATTTTCTGAGGCACCTCCACACTTTGCCAAAGTGGCTGTACCAACTTGCATTCCCGCCAACAGTGTAAGAGGGTTCTCCTTTCTCTACAACCTCTCCAACATTTGTTGTTTCTTGCCTTGTCAGTTTTTGCCATTCTAACTGGTTTAAGGTGGTATCTCAGTGTGGTTTTGATTTGAATTTCCCTGGTGGCTAATGATGATGAACATTTTTCCATGTGTCTGTTAGCCATTTGTATGTCTTCTTTGGAGAAGTGTCTGTTCATGTCTTCTGCCCATTTTTTGACTTGATTATTTGTTTTTTGGGTGTTGAGTTTGAGAAGTTCTTAATAGATCTTGGATACCAGCCCTTTATCTGTAGTGTCATTTGCAAATATCTTCTCCCATTCAGTGGGTTGCCTCTTTGTTTTGTTGACTGTTTCTTTTGCTGTGCAGAAGCTTTTTATCTTGATGAAGTCCCAAAAGTTCATTTTTGCTTTTGTTTCACTAGTCTTTGGAGATGTATCTTGAAAGAAGTTGCTGTGGCCGATGTGGAAGAGGTTACTGCCTATGTTCTTTAGGATTTTGATGGATTCCTGTCTCACACTGGGATCTTTCATCCATTTTGAGTTTATCTTTATGTATGGTGTTAGAGAATGGTCGAGTTTCATTCTTCTGAATGTGGCTGTCCAATTTTCCCAGTACCGTTTTTTTGAAGAGACTGTCTTTTTTCCATTGCAGTTTTTTTTCCTGCCTTGTTGAAGATTATTTGACCATAGAGTTATCTTAAAATCTCTTAAGCTCAGTACACTGGCACCACACCCAGATAGAGAAGCTAGGACTTTATGCCTTAGTGAGACAAAGAAAACTTCAAAATCTTCCAGTTCTGCCTTCTAGTGTTAAGAGTAGGAGAGAAGCTTAGAACAGGCAACATTTTATAGACCAAAGGAATCTGTACTATCAATTCGTTTATCAGTTGTTGGGCAGTATACTTGTGTTGGAAAAAACTGGTCATTTTATTTTCGGCCTTAAAAAGTTGAATTAGTAAACATGGAGTCAGCCAAACCAAGATTATTTGTCTCGGGAAATAACATGAATAAAATCAATATCTTTTAAGACTATCACTTTTTAAAACATTTTTTACTTTGTTTTGTTTGGGGGAGTGGTAATTTACATAGGAAGTGAAGTTTCCAGGAGATAGGGAGAATTGCTGGTATCTGTTTATTCTCTGTCTGCCTTGTTGGTTTCTATTCCATCCTTGTTCTGCATGAGAAGGTTGGCAAACTTGACTCTATCTTCCGAGACTTAAACACTCCTAAATCTAAAAACTACATTTCTTCAGCAGCTGACTCCGTATTTATATGACTCTTCCCGCCTCCCAAATGGCCAGATGTGACCACCTGGGTGGGGCTTCTCCTCTCTCCATGCAGGGAAAATCACAGTGAAATTGAACGGCGGCGACGGAACAAGATGACAGCCTACATCACAGAACTGTCAGACATGGTGCCCACCTGTAGTGCCCTGGCTCGAAAACCAGACAAGCTAACCATCTTACGTATGGCAGTCTCTCACATGAAGTCCTTGAGAGGAACTGGGAATACATCCACTGATGGCACCTACAAGCCTTCGTTCCTCACTGATCAGGTCTCTGGGATGTACAAATCTGAGATAGTCGAGAATCTGTTGAAAATTTTTATCTTTGCGGGGTAGATGACCGTAATTCTAACTAGTGCCTTATATTGAGAGTCAGAGCCAAGCTGAGTCTGTAGATTGCTTAAAGTACAAGAATTCACCTGTTAAGGAAAAATTCACACATGGGAAAGTAGTTTCAATTCCTGGCTATTATATTCATTAGCATCGGAACAGTGAGAAGTACAGAAGACTTGTGCAAATTATTTAACAAGCTTATTAGGTATTTTATTTTATTAATTTTTTTAAAGATTGTATTTATTTTGAGAGAGCATGTGCACACAGGTGGGGGTGGGAGAGGAGCAGACTCCCCGCTGAGCAGGGGACCCCCCCCCCGCCAACGCAGGGCTCAATTCCAGGACCCTGGGATCATGACCTGAGCTGAAGGCAGACATTTAACCAACTGAGCCACCCAGATGCCCCAAGCTTATATGTATTTTAAACTTCACTCATGAATATAGCCTATAAGGTGAAACAAGAGTAGAATTGTAGGAAGAAGAGATGACTGTGTCCATGGAACCTGTTCTCTTCCTTGACTTTAGGGTTATAGAAGATGGAAGAAAACTGTTTCTTATTCCTGAAGCAGCTTTTAGTTTTAGTGATAAAAGGAGTCTGACAAGGCAGTCATCGTTCCTGAGAGATGTGCTCTGTTAAATGTAATGAGAAAAATAGGGAAGGCAAAAACGTTTCTAGCCTCTCAGGAACTTAATCTGAGTATGAATATGTGAGTGAGTGGAAGTGAGTCTGAATATGAATTTTTGAGTGTCTAGATACACACATAGTGAAAAATGAGAAGAAAATGCAATACAGAGAAGAAATATCTTCTTAAAATGATTATTTATTTGAGAGAGACCGAATGTGAGCAGGGGGAGGAGCAGAAGGAGAAGGAGAGAATCTCAAGCAGACTCCCCATTGAGCATGGAGCCCAGTGTGGGGCTAGATCTCCCGACCCATGAGATCATGACCTGAGCCAAAACCAAGAGTCGGACACAACTGACTGAGCCACCCAGGCACCCTGAGAAATAATCTTTCTTTAAAACTTACTAATAATTTATATGGGACTAGATAAATATATAGTGGAGGGACGGCTAAAGTGAATAGAATGACCAGGTTTGAGTGGGGATGGTTAGCAAAGATTTCTAAGAGTAAGAAAGGTATGTTCTCTTTTGATTATTAAAAATAACACATGGTTGTTGCAGAAAATTTTACAGGAAATATAAGGAAGAAAAAAATTGACCTATAATGTCACTCTTTTATTCAGAGGATTAGAAGGAAGGAATGTGGTTTGGAAGAAAGCAGTAAGAATGATTTTCCAAATAAGAGTTTCTATATGAAAACATACAGCATGGATTTTAGATATATGTACTTTGAAATAGTTAATCAGTTAATCTAACAATACACATAGAGATACTGATTGAACAGACTCCAGTTTATGCGCCTTTTGTGGGCTAACCAGGTGCTTTGTGCTATGAGAAGAACAGAGATAAGAGATAGTCACTAGTGGAAAGAGACATGTAAATAAATAAATCACAATATAAACACACGATTAGTTCTGTCATAGAGGTGCAGTATTAAAGTCCTGTAGAAATATAAACATGGAAAAGGAAAGGTAAGGGATTAGTGTCATAAATACTGTGAATAACTTGAGCAAATGCCTAGTGAGAATGATTGGATTATTCAAGGCAAATGAAATAGTTTAGCAAGCCTTGGGAGATGACAATAGGGAGGTAGGCTGGGACCTGATCATGTAGTATTTAGGTGTTATGTTACAGAATTTAGATATTAATTTTTAGGCAGTAGGGAGCCATCAAAAATGTGTCAGTCAGTGGGCCTGGGTGGCTCAGTCAGTTTAAGTGTCCGACTCTTGATTTTGGCTCAGGTCATGGTCTCAGAGTCATGAGATCAAGCCCTGAGTTGGGCTCTGCGCCGGGCATGGAGCCTACTTGGGATTCTCCTTCTCTTTCTGTCCCTCCCCATCTCTCTCCCCCCAAAAATTATATTCGTTGATACAGAGCATTTTAAGGCTGGATTTGAGACTTGGCATAAGATAACTAGGACAGTGATGTAGTTATTGGAAATAGAATTAATAAAACAGTTACCACTGGAGCAGGAGAGAGAGTAATTAGATTTTGGGTCTTGTAGCCTGAGAGGAAGGTGATACTGTTAATCAAGAAAGGAAATGCTAGAAGAGCACAGAGGATTATTCTTTGGAGGGGAAAATATGACCGGTTTTGAGATGTTGAAATTGAGTTGCTGGTAGAATATCTAAATTGCAAATGTTTTAACAGTTGGTTGGAATTTAGGTCTGCTTAAAGCTAAAGAAAAAAGTTTAGGCGAGTCTAGAGATACAGACTTGGGCACCATTTCATGGCAGGGAGGAGTGGATATAATTTCTCAGGGAGAGAATATGGTATAAATAGAGAAGAGAACTTAAGATAGAACCTTGGAAATATATATACTTAAGACTTGAACAAAGGGAAGGGTGCCTGAAGCAGAGAACGGACATTTAGAAAGGTAGCCAAAGTTGGAGGAGGGTGTAGTAGAAGCTAGAGGAAAATAAAACTTAAAAGGATGGAATGGATAACATTACCAGATTCTGGAGAGAGATTGGGTAACATGATAAAGACCCAGGAAAGGAGACTTGAATTGACAGTCAGGAGAACATTGTTAACCTGCTGCAAACAATATGAATGGTTTAGAGTGACAGTTGTAGTGGGATTGAGAAATAAGTGAAAGGTAAGAGAATAAAACCAGTGAATATAACATTACTCTTAATATAAACTCGGCACTGAAAAAGAGATGAGTTGGGCAAAATTGAGGAAAGATTTGTATAGAATTGAGAAAACTTGATCGTGTTTATAGATCTGAGGGGAAAGAGTGAAAATGGGAGTATTTATAGAGCAAGATCCTAAAAAGAGACCAGAGGGGGTGAGATCAAGGACTAAATTTTTGTTAGTGGGAAACCTTTTTATTTCCCATCTTGCGTCCTGAGATAAAGAGGAGGAGGTGAATAGTGACAGAGAGATTGAAGAAATACTGTTAGAAAATTTACCTATTGTGAAGGCAGTTACATTTAGAGTGCAAAGCTGGGGCTGTGGATCAGGCAGGAGCCAGCAATTGCTTAGGGAGAGGTGCATAAGGCCTGAAATGTCTTCTTTCCATGAATAATTCTTGGCTTTTAAGAGTTCAGTATTAACTTTCATTTCTCTTTTTTGGGCAGGAACTCAAACATTTGATCTTGGAGGCAGCTGATGGCTTTCTGTTTATTGTCTCATGTGAGACAGGCCGGGTGGTTTATGTCTCTGACTCAGTGACCCCAGTTTTGAATCAGCCACAGTCTGAATGGTTTGGTAGCACACTCTATGATCAGGTGCATCCAGATGATGTGGACAAACTTCGTGAGCAGCTTTCCACCTCAGAAAATGCCCTGACAGGTACGAATTATATGGATGGAAAATGAATGGGAAGCCCTTTCTTTTTTTCCTGAAACAGAAGAGGTATTTTAGCTCTTCAGTTTGTTCATTGAATCTGGCAAACCTTCTAGAATATTCTCCCATAATGAATATAATCATTTTTTTTCTATCCACACACAGATAATACAATTTGTAGCTTATTGTTAGAAAATGTTTCTTGAGTGACAGTGCACGTATATAAGTTAATTACTGTAAATAAAACAGTAAAAACCAAATCTACAATGAGCTTTTTTTTTCCATTCTAAAAGAATTAAGTTATCCATGTTTCTCTCTCATTTGTATGGGTAATTACCTGGTATTTTTTTCTACCTGTTTGTGCATATCTTTATATACTTTATATATATAAAGTATATATATAGCTTTATATACTGGGTTCTATTTAATAGATTTTTATTTTAAAGAGGAGTGGTTATCAGTATAAAAGTTGTTACTATTTTTTGTATCTGTACTATTTTTTGTCTTATTTTTATTTATTTTTTTCTTCACCCTATTTTAATGCTATTCAGTCCTTTTGCAGAGTTTGGCTATAGGAAACACATCTGCTTCTTAAGCAACTCTGGAAAAAAATTTAAAGTGAAAGCAGATCAAAACTGGTAATTAAGGGGGGCCTGGGTGGCTCAGTTGGTTGAGTATCCCAACTCTTGGTTTTGACTCCGATTGTGATCTCAGAGTCTTGGGATCAAGCCCTGTGTCAGACTCCACACTGAGCTGGAGTCTGCTTGAGATTTCCTGTCTCCTTCTCCCTCTGCCCCTACCTGTGCTCATGCACACACATGTACGCATGTGTTCTCTCCCTCTCTCTCTTTAAATAGATAAATAAATATATAGAATCTTTTAAAAAACTTGGTAATAAAATACAAGGAAGTCCATTATAGTTTTATTTATTTATTTATCTTTATTTAAATTCAGTTAATTAACATACAATGTAGTATTGGTTTCAGAGGTAGAGGTCAATGATTCATCAGTCTTATATAATACCCAGTGCTCATTATATCACTGCCCTTCTTAATATCTATCACCCAGTTACTCCATCCCCCCACTGCCTTCCCTTCCAGCAACCCTCAGTTTGTTTCCTGTGATTAAGAGTCTCTTACGGTTTTTCTCCCTCTCTGATTTTGTCTTATTTTTTTCTCTCTTCATCTCTGATCCTGTTTTGTTTCTTAAATTCCACATACCAGTGAGATCATATGATAATTGTCTTTCTCTGATTGACTTATTTCGCTTAGCATAATACTGTCTAGTTCCATCCATGTCGTTTCAAATGGCAAGATTTTGGTTTTATTAATTGTGTTTTAGTTTTCCCTTCTTTCAGGTCTTTATGGGTTTCATGTTTCTAGTTCTTTTTTCCAAAAGTTGCCATTCATTTCTTTTTTTTTTTTTTTTTTTTAAGATTTTATTTCTTTCTTTGACAGAGAGAGCACACAAGCAGGGGGAGCAGCAGAGGGCGGGAGAAGCAGGCTGTCCACTGAGCAGGGAGCCTGAAGCGGGACTCAATCCCAGGACCCTGGGATCATGACCTGAGCTGAAGGCAGACGCTTAACCAGCTGAGCCACCCAGGCGCTCTTGCCATTCATTTCTATATAATAAAGGGAAGAAAATTTTGGCTGGAGATAGATATTGTGTTACTATAGCATATAAAATTGTTTTTTTTTAATTTTTATTTTATTTTAATTTTTTAAAGATTTTGTTTATTTATTTGAGAGAGAGAACACAGAGGAAGAGTGAGAGGGAGAAGCAGACTCCCCACTAAGCGCAGAGCCTGATGTGGTGCTTGATCCTGGTACCCTGAGATTGTGACCTGGTCAAAGGCAGATGCTCAGTTGACTTGAGCCACCCAGGCGCCCCAAATTATTTGTTTTTAAACAATGACATTCCCTCGGTGTGCATGTGTGCACACACGTGCATGTGTATGTGTATAAAAATGAGACCCAAGAATGTAGCCTAGCCTCTTGCTTGCCAGCACCACTTTCCACTCCCACCTTTCTTCTTTGCACAAGGTTTTCTCCAGTGCTGCCTTTGCATTTAAGAATAACATTCATTGATGGGGGTTGAAGTATTTTGGACTTGAAAAATATCCGTTCCCTACTTGGCCTATTCTTTTATAAATGAGATTGGAGGACATCAGTAGGATACTTATTTATCTTTGCCTCTAGTGTCTCTCCTTTCCCTCTTCACCACATACAAGAAAACACACCAGACTGTTTTTCTCATCATTTTTCAGGGCGTATCCTTGATCTGAAGACTGGAACAGTGAAAAAAGAAGGTCAGCAGTCTTCCATGAGGATGTGTATGGGCTCAAGGAGATCATTTATTTGCCGTATGAGGTGAGTGTCAGGCTGAGGACTGTGATTTGACATAAGAAAAATTAAGAGCAGGGGCTTTGATTTCTGGTTAGGTCAGTTAAACTTTTAAATCTGAGCTCTAGTTGGATTAAATTTAACTCTCAAGACTCACATGGATTATAACAGAATAAAATGTTTGATAAGGGAACTAAAATTTAATTAATTCCTCCTATGCCAGATACTATGATCAGAGACTTATTGCTGTCGTTTCCCACATCTGTTCTTTGGGGTTGAATTCATGGTTACTGTTCTGTTGTTTAAAAAAAAAAAAAATCCCTAGTGGTTGGATTCCAAAATCTGTAGTATTTTCCCAGTACATCACAAGACTACATCCATGTACTAGACCATATCTTCATTTTTCTTTTTTTCATAGAGTATTGATACTATCTTATATCTTTTGGTTAGTATTTAGTGTTTATAATTATAAATTATACTTTTTTAGTATTCTGAAGAAAGTGTGGTACATTCTACATAGGTAGAAAAGATACCTCTTGAAGTCACAAAATAAGTTCAGGTCATACAGTGGGAATTGCCTACATTGTACTGAGAGGATGCTTATTAGAAATGATGAGTAGGATATTAAGAAAGGTTTCCTGAGAGAGTTACAGAATTGAGTATTATCTGGCTTACTGGTTTAGAGTAACTTCTGAACCTAGGCTACTAGGTTTGACGCTTACTATCTTCTGAGACCTTGAGCAGATTACATGACTATTTTGTGTTGTGATTTCATCTAATATTGGGAATTATATTAACTTCATAAAGTTGTTATAAGCATGAGATAATAAATATGTGTAAAGATGCTTGGAATAGTGCGTGGCACATACTAAACTCTAGGTAAGTTTTATCCATTATTTTAAAGAAACGAGATAAGGTAGAGAGGGTGGGAGAGAATGTCCCAATATGTGGACACAGCCTATGAACACGGCAAGAGCAAGATAAGTAATAAAGAAATGTGGCAAATAGATTGGGTTGTGGTATAGAACCGGGGTCTGCAAACCACAACTCTTTATTTGTAAATAAAGCCTCATAGGAATATAGCCATGTGCATTTGTTTATGTATTGTCTATGGCTGTTTTCCTGCTCTGATGGCTAGTTGCAACAGATTGTATGATCCACAGAAGTTGAAATATTTAGCATCTGGTCCTTTACACAAAAAGTATACTGACCCCAACGTAGAGAATTTCTGCATTTGAAGAGTATGTGCAACATTTTGAACTTCAAATTCTGGACAGTTCCAAGTTTTAGAAATATCAAACCTGACTTCTTTATCCTTCTGTGTCTAGTTGTGTCCAGAGCCCTTTTTTCTGGCTGTTAATGGATGGAAAGTTCTTTAATAGCACAGCTTAATTGCTTTTAATCTCTCCGTTCTTTGAAACAGGTGTGGTAATAGTTCGGTGGACCCAGTCTCCATGAGTAGATTGAGCTTTGTGAGGAACAGATGCCGGTGAGATCCTAAACAATGAAAAACCAAAGGGATGGCCAATAACCTGTAAAGATCGTCACTTTTTCAGCTATCTTAATGTAGTACTTCCTTCAGCAGCCCTCACTTGTATCCTTCACTTCCCAGTTACCTTTTTTTGGCAATGTTTTCCTGAACTTTTACAGCTTCTTTTGCTCATCTTGTTTAAAGAAGTTGCCCTACCACTTTACCAACTTTCTTCCTGCTGCAGTACCTTTCTGTTTCTTTACTTTGGCAAGGGTCAGAAATATGGTGGTCACTTTTGGGTGGGAGAGGTAAAAAAGTGGCCAGTTTTCTAAACATCCAAGAGCCTGAAGTTAAAGGTACTAAGCCAGCATTGCCTTTTAAATGTTACTGGGTAGGGTTTTCTCCTCACACATGTACTTCTTCTAGGAATGGACTTGGCACTGTGAAGGATGGGGAACCTCACTTTGTGGTGGTCCACTGCACAGGCTACATCAAGGCCTGGCCCCCAGCAGGTAGGAAAGTTGGATTTCTCCCATGGTGCAACAGGTTTGTCACAGAGTCTGAGAAAGTTAGTTAACACTTATCATGTACCTGGTGTGTGAAATGTACGATGGTATCAACTATAAGAAAATAGGAAAGAAAAAGCAGGCTCTTGCTCCTCCTTTATATTCCAGTTGGGGAGATGGGTTACTCAGACTTGAAAATGATTCAGTGTTGACTGTGTCACAGAATGCAATTTTTAAAAACGTGCAGATTCATAGTAATATATACTGAATACCTATTTTCTAAGTATTTGTGTGCAAAGAAACATTTGGCATTGAGTGCAGTTAATTTGGGAAAGCTTTTTAGTAGGAGCATGGCTTTGAGGAAGAAGGAAATGACCTAATTGTAGTAACTTGTAAGTGGGATATTCTCTTTAAAGGCTTTAAATCAAGATGTGAGCACATTAGCTTTACCCCTAGAACTTGAAGTCAAACAAAATGTGAGAAGGATGGTTGGGGTGCAGGGATCAGCCTTTTAAACTGGTTTGTCAGAATTTCCAGATCTTAGCAACTTTATTACTTCCCTGCTGGATGGGTGTAATTGGGAAGTGGGATTATAGGGAGAGGGAAACTAAGAGAAAAGGGAGGCAAGGTGGTATATTTGGGGAAGAGATTAAACTTTGTATTCGGAAAAACCTGGGTTTGATTCTGGCATTGTTACTTACTAATGGTATAACTTAGAGTAAGACACTTGACCGTTATAAAAAGAACCCCTCAGTGTTCTCATCTATAGTTTGGAGATAATATATCCCATGTAGAATTATTTTGAGGATTAGAGTTAATGTAAGAAAAGCACTTAGCCCAGTGCCTGGCATGTAGTATGCCCTCAATAAATGGTAGTTAAGTGTAATTCAGAAAAATTCTAAGTGTAGTGACATTTGAGCTTTTTAGTTTATATACTGAATAAACCATACATATGCCATATATGGTCTTTTATATTTCTGTATTGCTCTCATAATATTTTTCTTGGTAAAAAGACGATATATATGCAAAGACTAGAGAGAAAATGCAGCCTTCCCTTTTCCACATAAAACATTGAAACTTTGGCTTCTCTCTTTCCAAAAGACATAAGTAACTAACTGTTGATGTTGGTTTAATTTCATTTTTGGTTGTTTGCTTATTTTAAAACCACAGGTTGGGCAAGACCTCTGTTCTCTGCCTGTGGTATAGTCATAGAATAAATGACTGTCTTCATATGTTTGGTTTGACCATCATAGTTTTATATATGGTAAATTCTGTGCAGTTGTTTATCTTTATTCTTATTCAGCACTCTGTTGTTTTAAAACTAGTCTCTTCGTACCTACATGTATTTTAAATCTTTTTTGATCTGAATTAAAGGTAATTGAGTTTGAGATCCTTCTTAAACCTTTTAACTTCACCTTCCTGAAGGTGTCTCCCTTCCAGATGATGATCCAGAGGCTGGCCAGGGGAGCAAATTTTGCCTAGTGGCCATTGGCAGACTGCAGGCAAGTATGAATTTTCCACATCTGTATTATCTGTTTTCTTTCCTTTTTCCTTTCTTTTTTTTAGTCTTCTTTGTATATTTACTTTTTTAAATTTAAATTCCAGTGTAGTTAACATATGGTGTCATATTGATTTATTAGCATATTAGTTATATGAGGTGTCCAGTATAGTGATTTAGCAATTCTTTTTTCTTTAAGAGAGGAAAAGAGGTGGGAGGGTGGGCAGACGGAGAGGGAGAGAGAGAGTCTTAAGCAGGCTGTACACCCAGCACGGAACCCAATATGGGGCTTGATCTCGTGACCCTAGATGATGACCTGAGCTGAAATCAAGAGACGCTTAACCAACTGAGTCATCCAGGTGCCCATTGATTCAACACAGGTATACCTTACTCAGTGCTCATCATAAGTGTACTCTTGAGTGGGAGGATGAGTTAAATAGGTGATGGGTATTAAGGAGGGCACTTGTGATGAGCACTGGGTGTCAATAAATTCAACACCTGAAACTAATATTATACTGTATGTTAACTAACTGGAATTCAAATAAAAACTTGCAAAGGAAAAAAATGTACTTAATCCCCTTCGCCTATTTCACCTATCCTTAGACCCACCACCCCTCTAGTAACTATCAGTTTGTTCTGTATAGTTAAGAGTCTGGTTTTTGTGTTTGTCTTTTTTATCTTTGTTTGTTTTGTTTCTTGAAGTCCACATATATGTGAAATGGTATTTGTCTTTCTCTGACTGACTTCTTTCACTTAGAATTATACTCTCCAGATCCATCCATGTTGGAAATGGCAAGATTTCATTACTTCTTATGTTTCTTTCTTATATTTCTTAAATATTCTCTGAGTAATATTCCATTGTGTATATATATATGTATATACACACATCTTTATCCATCTGTTGATGGACACTTGGGCTGCTTCCATAATTTGACTGTTGTAAATAATGCTGCAGTAAACATAGTGTATGTATCTTTTCAAATTAGCGTTTTTGTTTTTTTTCTTCTGGTAAATACCCAGTAGTGGAATTACTGGATCATATGGTAGGTCTCTTTTTAACTTTTTGAGGAACTTCCATACTGTTTTTGCAATGGCTGCATCAGTTTGCATTCGGTTCCTTTTTCTCCACATCCTGGCCAACACTTGTTTCTTGTTTTTTTGTTTCAGTTTTTTTTTTTTTAAAGATTTTATTTATTTATTTGAGATCGTGAGCAAGAGAGAGAATGTGAGCAGGGGCAGAGGGAGAGGGAGAAGCAGACTCCCCTGCTGAGCAGGGAGCCTGATGTGGGGCTTGATCCTAGGACCCTGGGATCATGACCTGAGCCAAAGGCAGATGCTTAACTGACTGAGCCACCCAGGTGCCCCACCTTTCTATTTATTTTTTTGTGTACCTGTTACTGGTTTAATTTGTGGTTACCGTTAGGTTTGTGTATAACACTTTTTGCATATAGCAGTTTATATTAAGTTGATGGTTACTTATGTTTGAACTCATTCTTTATTCCTCTCCCCTCCAAGTTTTAGGTATATTGGTGTCATACTTTATACCCTTTTATTTTGTGAATACCTTGACTGATTTTTATAAACATGCTTAATTTTTCTGGTTTTGTGTTTCCTACTTTTCTTACTCCTACTTTTGGTCTTAAGAGTGCCCTGTAACATTTCTTAGAGGGCTGGTTTAGTGGTCATGAATTTCTGTAACTCTTGCTTGTCTGGTAAACTTTACCTGTCTTTCTGTTGTGAATAATAGCCTTGCTGGATAGAGCATGCTTGGCTGCCGGTTTTTCTCTTTTAGCACTTTGAATGTATCATGCTAGTCCCTCTGCCCTGCAAAGTTTCTTCTGAAAAATCTACTGATTACCTTATGGTTTTCCCTTGTATGTAACTATTTCTTTTTTCTTTCTGCTTTTAAAATTCTCTTTTTATCTCTACTTTTTACCAGTTTAATTACTGTATGTCTTGGTGTAGACCTCCCTAGGTTGATTTTGTTGGGGACTCTCTGTGCCTTCTGGATCTGGATTTCTATTTCCTTCTCCAGATTTGGGAAGTTGTCAGCTATCATTTATTCAAATAAATTTTCTGCCCCCCCTTTCCTCTCTGTTCTTCTGGGATCCCTATAATGTGAATGTTCTTATGGTTTCTGGTGTCACTGAGTTCCCTAAGTCTGTTTTCATTTTTATATTTTTCCTTCTCTCCCTCACTCTCAAGCAGGCTTGATTGCTTCCCATTATTTTGTCCTCCAGCTTGCTGATCTGTTCTTCTGCTTCCTCCAGTCTACTATTCCATCTAGTGTATTTTTAATTTTAGTTAATGAGTTTTTCATCTCTGATTGGTTCTTTTATGTTTTCAACTGTCTTGGTTAAGTGTCTCACTGAGGTGGACACAAGTCCACTGTACTTTAAAATCTCCATCGGTCATGTTACTTCTCTCTGTTTTGTTTAGGTCTCTTGCTTTGATTTTGTCCTGTTGTTTCATTTGGAACATATTCCTCTGTGTCATTTTGTCTCTTTGTTTCTTTGTGTTAGGAAATTCAGGTACATCTTCTGCTCTTGAGAATAGTGGCCTGCAGTGCAATGTCCCCTCTTCACCAGAATCTGCCACTTCAGGGTTGTCTCCTGTATGTGTTACGGGTGCCCTGCTGTTGTGGCTGAGCAGCTTTTGCCTTTAGTCCAGTCGTTTGCAATGGTTTTCTTTGTCTATTGTGGGCAATGTTTGGTCTTTGTATTGTTATGGGCCAGTCTTGGGCTACCATGGGCTTAAGTTGAGTCAGACCAGGCATTTTCCAGTTATAGTAGCACTGAACTGTAGGAGAATGCAGGGGTGGGGTGCATGGTCTTAGCAATGTTTGCAGGGGTCTGCTATGGAAGGAGACCTGGAGTTGCAGCCTGGCTGGAGGGGGTATGCTCACAGGTGTATGCATGGGTGGGCATTTACTTGCTCATGTCTGTACAGTTGGGAGAACTAGTTACCTGAAAGTAAAGAGAAAGTAGTTAGCAAGTAAAGTAGTGAGTGTTGGTATCACACGGGCTCCTGCAGGTGTCCATGTGTTTGTGCCAAGGGTGGGTGCTGGCAGGGGAGGGAAATGACACTAGCCAGCTCCTTCAGTACTGGAGAATTTTTCCAGTGATCCCTGCCCCTCCAGCACATGCTCTGAAATTAGTAAACAAATCTCCCTCCTATATACCCCAGGTGTTTTTCAGAGTGTTGCTTCTATGTTGTATCTCCATGGGGCTATTTGTTGTGCTCTCTCTTTAAGGGTGGGGACTTAGTTTCCTCTTCCCCTTCCAGCTTTCCCATGAGCCTGCTAATTTTTAGTGTTCCAGATTTTAATCCCTGCTATTGGTAAGAATTCTTGAAATTCAGCCCCTCTGGTTTCAAAGCCACATGTTAATGGGATTTGTCTTCCCCATGGGGCTCCCTGGTGTGAGAGTCCGTTTTGCTCCCTTCTCTGTGCCCACGGAGTCCTTCCCTCCTGCGGACAGTCCACGGGTCCTTTTAGTGGATCCCTTTAGCTCCTGGCTGCGGCTCTACTCTTCCTACTCTCTTCAGTGTGGCCTTTTCTCTACATTTAGCTGGGGAGAGCTTATTCTGCCAGTCTTTGGGTCCTTTTCTGGATTATTTACACTGATGTGGCTGTTACCTAGTTGTATCTATGGGATGAGGTAAGCTTAGGGTCCTCCTACTCCACCATCTTCCTTGGAAGTCCCATATATCATCCCTTTTCAATGAGAAGAAATCTACTTCAGAACTTTTTCAGAATTTTTTTTTACTCTCTAAATATAAATGAATTCTGTGAAACTCCAGATTTTGGGAAGAACATGGCATTCATAGTTTGCTTCTCTCTTGGACAGCAGAAGCTGAAAAGGATGAGAGAGGGAGGGAGATCTTTCCCCCTTATCTTTCATACTGTGAACTTCACAGTACTGAATTTTCTATTTCTAACTAATTTCTTCTGCTTCTATACAGGAGAAGAGATATATATATATTTTTTAAGATTTTATTTATTTGTCAGAGAGAGCACAAGTAGGGGGAGCGGCAGATAGAGGAAGAAGCAGGCTCTCTGCCGAGCAAGGAGCCTGATGCGGGGCTCAATCCTAGGACTCTAGGTTCATGACCTGAGCTGAAGGCAGATGCTTAACCGACTGAGCCACCCAGGCGTCTCAGGAGAAGAGAGATCTTTTCATTTTATCATTACATGACTAGAAAAGTGGAATTATTTTTATTCTTCTCATAAAATTAGATAAGTTTTTTGGTTACTGGGGACTAATTTTCCAATCTCAATAAAGAACACAACCTAGCTAAATGAAAATAGATGAGTTTTGGGTTGAATGAATTTTTATCTTCACAAAGTTGGTAAAGAGTACATGTATAGGAGTGGAACTAGCCCTTTTGCCCTCTCTGATTGTGATTGTCATTTTTTCCTTTCTGGATGAGATGTGGAAGCTCAGAAATTCCTAAAATTGGGAGCCTCATGCCTATGTATAGGACCATAAGAAGATGGGAAATGCCTCTGTAAAGAATGGTGTCATTTTATCTTGTTTTTCTCTTTACTTTCAGGTAACTAGTTCTCCCAACTGTACAGACATGAGTAATGTTTGTCAACCAACAGAGTTCATCTCTCGGCACAACATTGAGGGAATCTTCACTTTTGTGGATCACCGCTGTGTGGCTACTGTTGGCTACCAACCACAGGTGAAGAGCTGGAGCTGTTATGCTACTGATACTTAAGCCTGTTTTCCTTTGGCTTTGTTCAGATTATTCCAGAATAGCCAAAACATATCAGGCCCAGATCAGAAAAAGAGATGATCCTATTCCATCTGTAGTTAAATTTATTCTCAGGTTGCTACCGCTGTTATTTATCCAATCTAGAAAAATATGGCTGCTATTACGTGGGAGCAGCGGGCATAAATATGTATTTATTTTTTGTTATTGATATTAATACAGATAATGCAAAAGTGTTCATTTTAATTAGTTATAATGGCATGACCATCGTTAATTTTTGTAATCACTTAGGTTAGATACTTAGTAACCTACAAAATATGCAAGTTTGGCACTGGTTATTAGGATTTTATTGAGATCTCTCATTCAGCAGAGCAGGTAGCTATACCAAAGTTGAGAAATAAATCATTATACAAACCTTCAAAACTCTAGCCAGGAGAGACTTCAGACTATGGCTCTGTGAAGAAGTTGGCAAAAAGAGTCTTGAGAAAGAACAAAGTTGGAGGATTTACACTACCTGATTCAACAGCTGTTATAAAGCTGTTGTCATCAAGGTAGTGTGATAGCAGTATAAGGATAGATATATAGGTCAGTGGATCAGAATAGAGTCTCTTTTCACGTTTATGGTCAACTGATTTTCAACAAAGATGTCAAGACAGTTCAGTGGGGAGAAGATTCTTTCCAACAAATGGTGATGGAAAAGTTGGATATACCCCACACACAGAAGGACATAGACTCTTACCCCATACCATAGACCAGAGATCAACTCAAAAACATAAATGCACAAGAGCTAAAGTTATAGAACTTCTAGAAGAACATAGGAGATTATCTTTGTGATCTTGAGTTAGACAAAGATTTTTTCTGTAACATCAGAAGCATGGCTCACAAAAGAAAAAAACTCTTAAGTTGGATTTCGTCAGAATTAAAATTACCCTCTTAACAGGACATCATTAAAGTGAAAAGACGATTCACAAACTGGGAGAAAATATTGCAAATCATATATTTGAAAAAGGATTGTATCCAGAATATACAAAAGAACTCTTGTAACTGATTAAGATAAACACAAAGTAAAAAAAAATGGGGGGGGCACAAGATTTGAATAGACATTTCACCAAAGAAGAAACATGAATGGCATAAAAAAAGATGCTCATCATCATTAGTCAGTAGAAGAGTGCAAATTAAAACCACAATGAGATACCATTGTATGCCCACTAGAATGTGCACAGTGAGATACCACTATAGGTCCACTATAATCAAAAAGTGTTATAATAATGGGGAGAAATTGCAACTGTTATACTTTGTTGGCAGACCTATAAGATGGTATAGCCACTTTGGAAAACCATTTTGGAAAAATGGAAAAATAGTTTTGTAAGAAGTTAAATGTATACTTAACCCTACAACCTAGCAGTTCCACTTCTAAGCATTTACTCAAGAAAAATGAAACCTGTGTTCACATAAAGATTTATATATGTGTTCATAGTTGTATTATTCACAGTAACCCCAAAGTGGAAAAACTGGAAATGTCCATTGACTAGTGAATGGATACACAGCTGTGAAATATCCATGTTAGAATACTGCTGAGTAATAAAAAGGAATATACTACTGATATGTGCAATGACACAGATGAGCTCCAAAAATCTTAAGTTACATGTATGAAGTCAGACCCAGTAGACCACATTTTATATGATTCCATTTGTGTGACATTTCTAGAAAGACAGCACTAAAGCAGAGAGCAGGTCACTGGTTGGCTAGGAGGTTGGGAGCAGGTGTTGACTACAAACAGGTAAAAGGGAACTTTGGGAGCAGGGGACATGTTGTGAAACTGGATTTGTGGTAATAACGGTGGTTGCACAACTGAATAAATATGTAAGAGGCCATCAAATTGTAGATTTAGAGTGAGTGAATTATATGTGTACGTTAGACCTCAAATCTATAAAAATGCAGCTAAAAGGGGTGCCTGGGTGGCTCAGTCGTTAAGCATCTGCCTTCGGCTCAGGTCATGATCCCACGGTCCTGGGATCAAGCCCCGCATTGGGCTCCCTGCTCCTCGGGAAGCCTGCTTCTCCCTCTCCCACTCCCCCTGCTTGTATTCCCTCTCTGGCTGTGTCTCTGTCAAATAAATAAACAAAATCTTTAAAAAAAAAATGCAGCTAAAATAAATATATAATGTTCTGAAAGACAAAAATGTTTTAGAGGCCATTTGCTTAGCAGGTTCCATATTCTTTTGTTGTTTTTTTTTTTCCCCTCCACACTTACTATAGCCTTTGGCTAAAGACAGGGAAATAAAATTCAAGTCATTTGCTGATAGGCCAGGAAAGTTAGATCATAGAAGTGTCCATCTTACTCTTCTTTTTTCACTTTTAGGAACTCTTAGGAAAGAATATTGTAGAATTCTGTCATCCTGAAGACCAGCAGCTTCTAAGAGATAGCTTCCAACAGGTAACTTTTTCCCCCTGGTTTGGATCTGAATAATATTTTTATCTAATATTTGTTATCATAGTAATTCCTCAAACATTTATTGACCACTGATTAAGTACTGTGACAGGCATCATAATCTTATGTTCTTTAGTACAAAACCTGTACTTTTAAGGAACAGAAAAGGACCAGTATTTTGAAACTATGGATAATGTCCAAGGTATTTTGGCTTTGGCTACTCACTGTCCTGTATCCAGCTAGCTGTATCCAAGAGACTCTTTAAAGTACTTAAAATATTCTAGGCCTCACTGAACTGTGGGTGGTGGTAGAAGTATTCATTTCACGGTTCTTTTATAGATCAGTAAGAGTTAACTCTTCACAAATAAGATTTTTTATTTGTCACCATTAAATGTCTGAATTTTAAACAGATTCTTGGACTGGTAGCTCATATTCATCGGCTCGTTCAACTTTAGTACCAGTCTTATCCCCAGTGGCTTTTACAGAACTGATACCTTCACTGTGAAGCTCCATGAGCTTTTTCAGTTCAAACTTGGGCTTCTTTAGCATTTTTACTTTTGTTACAAAGACATCATGGAGTGGACAGATTGGCAAGCTTTTTCTGTGTCTTTTCTGATGCTGTCTGGAATCAACTTATTGACCACTTCTTTCAAGTCATTTGTCTGCACCTCTCAGGTCATGATTTCCATTATCATTTTCCAAATTTGGCAGACCTGTTGGTACTAAGCATAGGTCTTCTGAATCTGATCGTTGCGTTTTTTAGTAAAACCAGCACAAAATAGGGGCGCCTGGGTGGCTCATTTGATTAAGCGTCTGATTGATTTCAGATCAGGTCATGATCTCAGGGTTGTGAGATCGAGGCCCGGGTTGGGCTCCTTGCTCAGCTGGGAGTCAGCTTGAGATTCTCTCTCTCCCTCTGCCCCTCCCCCATCTGTGTACACACACACACACACAGTCTCTCTGTCTCAAATAAATCTTTTAATAAAATTCTGTTAAAACCAACACAAAATAGACAAAGCAAATAACCATTGGTAGTCTTAACATCAACATGAGATTCAAAAAAAAACAACCATGAGCTTCAATCGTGGTTTGCCATTTTTTGACCATGGAGCAGATTTTGTCGTGGGTAAGATCCATGCCATGGAAATTAGGCATTTTTGTCCTAAACATCCTCAGTAATTAGCTTGAATTTTCTTTTCTTTTTTTTAAGATTTTATTTATCTGACAGAGAGAGATACAGCGAGAGAGGGAACACAAGCAGGGGAGGGGGAGTGGGGGAGGGAGAAGCAGGCTTCCTGCTGAGCAGGGAGCCCGACGTGGGGCTCGATCCCAGGACCCTGGGATCATGACCCAAGCCGAAGGCGGACGCTTAACTGACTAAGCCACCCAGGCGCCCCTAGCTTGAATTTTCTAAGTGCAACTTCATCATTCTGCAGATCAGTACGGCTCACTTCAAAAACACGATCCTGAGGCTGTCAGATGTGATTTTGGTTCATTGAGTTCTCATGACTAGTGTTCCAAAAATTTCTTATATTGAACATAGCTGGTGCCTTCACATCGTACCTGTTTTTCTTAGAAAATGGATCAACCACTTTCTTCTTGGCTTCCTTTTTGGTGCCTTTTGTTAGGTGCTTGTTCTTGCCATCCTCCATGGCACTGCTCAGGAAGCCAAAAAGCAAGAGTTCACTTATTTGTAAGCTCTTTTTTTTTTTTTTTTTTTTAAATCTTCCTAAGAAACTCAAAAATTAGTCAGCTTAAGTACAAGAAAGCAAACCTTGGAGAGGAAATCACTGAAGACAGAAATGAAAAGAAAGGAAATATGAACAAAAACCATTTCCACCATTGGCATAATCATACTTCCACTCATGCTCCTCGTACAGTGTAAGAAGACCATGGTACATAGATATATACTTCGCCCTCCAGGAGGCTGACACAAGCCGCCTGCTCTCAGAGGCAGAAACATTCCAGCGCACACAATCCCACATGATACTTTGCCCCTGTAACTCAAGCTAACTTTAGGCACCTAAGTACTCCCCCTGAGGGAGTGCACCGTTCCTGGAGATACTCTAATACCAGGTTGATGCATGGAGTGGACGGAACAATCTCCTGTTCCATCTCCCTGCTCCAAAAATCCATTTAATATATTGCCCTTGGATAGAGGACATATCCGATATTAAACTGATATGAACAGATACTACACTTGATCTTAGCCAAAAGGCCAAGAATAAACTGACTGTTATTTTCAGGCGCCAAATTCTGAAAATACCTGGTGAATTTAATTTCAGTACAGGTTTGGCTTTAGGAAGGAGTTCTTTATATTAGACTGATTTCCCTCTTTGAGCCTCAGTAGTGTTCTTACACAATAGGTATAATAACAGTACTTAAATTCACAGGGTTATTGGGAAGATTAAGATAATGCATTTAAAGCACAAAGCCTAATTTCTAGAGGAAATCAGATGATGGCAGTAAAATGTCTCTGTCTCCTGAGTCCTCAGCATTACCAGTTCCGTGCACTCAGCACTCAGCTGCAGCTCACAGAAGAATCACATTTTGTATATGTGTAGGCTCAGAAAAACCATTCAGAAAAACTATTCTGACTTCTGTTGAATCCTTTCAGAACTAAGAACATGAAACTTCAGCAGTGGGAGGAGATATTGTACAGTGTATTTTTAATTCTTGAAATTCCTAATTCTGACCACTTTTGGCCACAGAGTGTCATTTCATCACTTCTGGAAAATGTTTATTCCAATACAGCTTTAATGACTCCTGTATACTCTACATAATCTCAAGGTTATTATTCTGATGTTAGTTGCTGCTGTGGTTCTAGGGTACTTAGGTAAAGGTGCTTTTTAATGTGCAGTCTCCAGCTGCTTACTTAGCTGCTGATTTCCTGATTTTGATATTTCTTAAGTCTAGTTGGATTTATATTTCTTTTTCAGTAATAAATTTAGTTATTTCCAACAAAGCCTGTTTTCCTTTTTTTTCTTCTCTGTTTTGGTTACTGCAGTGGTGTGTTTCACACTTGTGAAAAGTGTATGTGTGTGTGTTTATAAATGTGTGTGTATGTATATATAAAATGTACCATTTTATTATTGCTAAGTGAAGTATGTCCCATTTTCTGCTGTAATTATTTCTCAGTCAGCTTTAATGTCAGCAGTTATTTCCACACAGTTATTTCCACACTTAAACACAAATGTTACTACTTTTTCTTAAAAAAAAAAATATATATATATATAAAGTGTAGGTATTTTGAAGCACTGGGCTTATACTTCATTGGAGTAGATATAAATATATACCTTAGTAAGGAGTTTTCAAATCCAGTATTTATTTATGTACAAATTTAATTATATTCATTCTGTATATTACACAGTGAGCACATGTTAGAATTAAAGGCTGTTTAGTATTGTTTAAATGCCTGTTCATATCTCATTTCTTTTTTATCATGTTAAATAAATGTTGATTTTATTTATTTATTTGACAGAGCGAGAGAGCACAAGCAGGGGGAACAGTAGAGGGAGAGGGAGAAGCAGGCTCCCCCCGAAGCAGGGAGCCTGATGTGGGGCTCGATCCCAGGACCCTGGGATCATGACCTGAGCTGAAGGCAGATGCTTAACCATCTGAGCCACCCAGGCACCCCAGATTTGATGTTCTTTAAAAAATAAAGAAAAGCACATAGCCCAGTGCTTGACATATCGTAACTACAAAATAAATGTTAGCTTCTAATCTTATTTTTTTATTGTTAGGGAGGGAGGGTCAAAAGATTTTCTCTTTCATAAAACTAGGAACTAAAATCTAAAATCACTTCTTTTCTTAATTTTTTTTTTTAAGATTTTATTTATTTATTTGACAGAGAGAGACACAGTGAGAGAGGGAACACAAGCAGGGGGAGTGTGAGAGGGAGAAGCAGGCTTCCTGAGGAGCAGGGAGCCCAATGCAGGGCTCGATCCCAGGACCCTGGGATCATGACTTGAGCTGAAGGCAGATGCTTAATGACTGAGCCACCCAGGTGCCCCTAAAATTACTTTATTTTAAAAAAACAAAAGCAAAACAAGACTAAAGCCAACTTAGTTTTATTTATGGAAACCTCCAAGGGTGCTGCGAAAACAAATTTTCAGGTTTGGGGGGAAAACCTAGGATAGTGGAGCAATATGTAAGCTATTTCAGTATCAAACTACAAATTTCTATGATAGACTTATAAAGCTAGATCCACATATCTTTAAGGGATTTTCCAAGAGAAGTGGGGAAATAGTCTTTATTTTCCTGGAAAAAATTGTTACTTCTGTTTAACTTTGACTAGATGGTCAGTTAGCTGCTTGGGACTCTAGGAAGAAAAATAAATATACCTCCTCATTATTTAGCGCTTAGCTTTCACTCCGTGTGTTGTTTCATCAGTAACATTGAAAGAGACTGGTACTTCAAGGACAGTAACACACCAATCTTACCTTTGTAGAAATGGGAAATTAAAAAAAAAAATTCTAAATAAAATTTTTTATGGATTTCACTGAAAGCATGAAAACTTTTTCAGGTGGTGAAGTTAAAAGGCCAGGTGCTGTCTGTCATGTTCCGGTTCCGGTCTAAGAACCGAGAATGGCTCTGGATGAGAACCAGCTCCTTTACTTTCCAGAACCCTTACTCAGATGAAATTGAGTACATCATCTGTACCAACACCAATGTGAAGTATGTACCGTAAAGGCCTTTTACAATGTTGGGATTTCTCGTGGGCCAAGTCTGCTTAGCCTTATCAAGCTGTTTCCTCTTCTACTAAACACCATTGGTTTGAAGTTCCTCATCTTCCAACTTACTATAGGATGTAGACTAGTTCATCCAGGTAGAATAAGATTTTTAACAAACAGTACTTTAGAGAGTAAGTTCTGAGATGTGAAGGGTTTGTATTTTAATTTTATGCTTCAATGCTTTCTAGAAAGGATATTGTTTTATATACCAGTTTATTGCTGTGTTCTGGTAGGATTTTCCTGTAGAGCAGGTGTCTGCAAACTCTTTTTGTAAAAGGCCAGATAGTAATTATCTTAGCTCTGTGGGGCATATGGTCTCTATTGAATTACCCAACTCTGCTATTGTAGCATGAAAAGAGTCCTAGACAAATGAAATGAACAAAGATGGCTATGTTCCAACAAACTTTTATTTACAAGAACAGGCAGTGGACTGGATTTGGCCCATGGACCATAGTTTACTTTAGAGCATAGTTTCTGTTCCTTGATTCCTTTCTGTTTGAGCTTTTCTTTCTCAACTTGGTGAAAACCAGTTTTATTGCAATAGATTGCACATACTATGAAGTACACCCTTTTAAAGTGTACAGTTTTTTTTAGTATGTCACAGAGTTATACAACCTAATCTCAGTACATCCTTATTTCCCCTAAAAGGAATTCTGTACTCATTAACAGTCATCCTCCCCGTTCCCCAAGCCCTCTATGACAACTAATCTATTCTCTGTCTCTATAAATTTGCCTATTCTAGACATTTCATATGAATGGAATCATAACAATACATGATTCCTTGTTACCTCTTTTGCTTAGTATAATGTTTTAAGGGTCATCTGTGGTTGTAGCATTTATCTGTACTTAATTCTTTTTATTGCCAAATAATATTCCTTTGTACGGGGATACATTTTATTTATTCATTAGTTGATGGACATTGGGTTATTTCTACTTTCTGACTAGAGCGCAGCTATGAACATTTATATACTAGTTTTTATGTAGATACGTTTTTATTCTATTGGGTATATACCTAGGAGTGGAATTGCTGGGTCACATGGTAACTCTGTGTTTAATCTTTTGAGGAACTGCCACACTGTTTTCCAAAGCTTCAGTACCCTTTTACACTTCCATCAGCAATGTAATGAGGGTTCCAGTTTCTCCACATTCTTACTATCTTTTCTATTATACCCATCCCAGCGGATGTCAGTTGACAGGTTACTTCTTTTTCATTTACTCTATCTATATAGAATTGGCCCTGAGCCTAGCTCTTGAAGATCTGCTTAGAATTGATTATCAAGTATAAATAATACCTGGTGACAACACTGAGTCTGTGTCTTCCTTATTTTAGGGCTTTTAAAATTTAATTCTTCTCTAATTAGTATAGCAGAGTGGATTGAGTTAGAAATTGTATTTACTTAGGCCTTGGTAAATGGTCATGGTCACTGTAGTTTTCTGGGGTTTCTTTTTGTTTTTGCATCTTTATATTACAGAATAACCACTGTTTTGTTTTTCCATTTTGTTTACATTTTGAATTTTTAAGTACTTTTAAGAACTTGTTTTTGGAAATAATGGTGTTCCCCATTTTTACATACTGTTTTCCCCACCACAGTTTATTTTAATTCTTACATTTTTTTAAAGAAACATTTTTTTTACAGAAAATTTGGAAAGTATGGAAAACTATAAAGAGAAGGAAAAAAATTTTCACTACCCAAAAAGAGTCTTTGTTAATGTTTGTATATGTACTGTCAGTTTTTTTACTTGCGCTTTTAAAAAACACAATATATGGATACACACATATATACCAATTGGGTATGGAATACCTGAAAGGAGTTAGAACCCAAACAGGATAAACCCTTGTGCCACAGGACATAGTTTTTGTTTGTACCTTGTCACCCATGGTATGAAATACCTGCTGAATTTGAAGTCATATGTTACTTAAAGGATTAGACTTCAAAAGGGAATTTATTAGTTACTGCCTTACCTACAAGTGAGTATATACAGTTTTATGTATAGTGTTACATCCTTTCTTCCCCCTCTGTCTGCTCTCCATTTTCTCAGGAACTCCAGCCAGGAACCAAGGCCTACACTGTCCAACACAATCCAGAGACCACAGCTAGGTCCCACAGCTAATTTGCCCCTGGAGATGGGCTCAGGGCAGTTGGCATCCAGGTGAGAAATGGTAGAAGAATCATAAATGATCAGTGGCCCAGGGAGTGGGCATCTCTAATCCCATTTGTTTGTTTATTTTAAGCCCTTTCCCCACATTAAAAAAAAAATCTTTCTCTCCTCACTGGCCTTTAACATACAGGCAACAGCAACAGCAAACAGAACTGGATGTGGTATCAGCAAGAGATGGACTGGCTGGCTACAATCATTCCCAGGTAAGTGTGTCGTCTTCTTTGAAGAAGACTGTGATCATTTCCTTAAGAAATGTCCTCCAGTGCCAGTTAGAGTGTATGTGTATCTTTATGTGAATGTTAGGGTTATTGAATGTCATGTTAAATCTTTCATGGTTATTTTTATCACTGTAAAATGAGTAAACGTTTCTGTTCAGCCTGTGACAACCGCAGGGCCAGAACATAGCAAGCCCCTCGAGAAGACAGATGGTTTATTTGCCCAGGATAGAGATCCAAGATTTTCAGAAATCTACTCCAACATCAATGCGGGTATGTTTCTTCCTCACTCTCCTTTTAAATTCTCATTCAGATCACTTACTGATGTGCCTGCTGCTGCCCAACATCTTTCCACTTAATCATAATACCTCATGAGTAAATAGGAACTTGCTGAACTAATGTACTACAGCCCCTTGACTAGCCCTCCCCCCACTCCTTTTGGTCCACAGATCAGAGTAAAGGCATCTCCTCCAGCACTGTCCCTGCCACCCAACAGCTATTCTCACAGGGCAACACATTCCCTCCTACCCCCCGGCCGGCAGAGAATTTCAGGTGAGCCCCTTATGTATGTGCTGCTTTACAGGGCAACTGAGGCATTCAGTTGCTGAATCCAAGTTTTATTCTTCCCTAGCTTTCTCTGGTTATTTCAGACAAAGCAGTAGAATTTGTAGGGTTTAAGATGAGGGAAGCTGCTTTTCTTCCTCCTCTTTCTTTGCACCTGTCCTGTTGCTATGTTATAGGTTCCATCTCTGTCCTGATTGGTGTGTGACTGTCAGTTTTTCTCATCTTTCCAGATTTTGTTATCAAGTTTTCCTTAACCCCAGGGAAGTCAAGGGGACCTAGTAATAGCACTAGATTGTCCCGTGATTCCTAGATTTTGAAATGGTAAACCCATCCTTTTAATGTTTTACACTATTTGTTCACTCCTAGAAATAGTGGTCTGGCCCCTCCTGTAACCATTGTCCAGCCATCAGCTTCTGCAGGGCAGATGTTGGCCCAGATTTCCCGCCACTCCAATCCCCCCCAGGGAGCAGCCCCAACTTGGACCCCTAGCACCCGTCCAGGCTTCTCTGCCCAGGTAAAGCTGCTTCTTTGTCCCCTGTGTACTAGCTTTTCCTTGGTTGGTTGGGCTTTTTTCCATATGTAAAATTACTGTCCTCTATCTTAGATATCTTCTCCCCAACGCCCCCCCCACCTTACAGTTTTTCTCTTTGTTGGGAGTAGCTAGATAATTAAAAACATAGATAGTCCCCAAATCTCAGAATCTCTGGTTTTCATATACTTTTATTCAGAATTGCTCACACAGAACATGTTAAACTGGTTTGATTTACAGATTTGTTTTGGAGTCAATTCTGAGTTTCCATTTTGTACTAGAAAGCATAGGAATAAAGGAGAAAATTAACTATGATTTACACACAGTGATGTCTATTTATTAAAAAAAGTGTTTAAAAGCCTTATATAATATGTATTATATATATGATAAGCTTAAAGCTAATATTCTTTCATATATTAACATATGCTTACATTACACAGTAATATCTTCAGTAAAAAAGCCCAAAGCAAAAAGCATACTCCAAAATTGTTATATGTAGTATGATCTCAATTGCATAAGAAATGTATAGGAAAATAAAAACTGGAAAAATTCTCACAACTCTCAGTGTATAGTTTATTAATCCCATAGTTCTTTGCTGTTTGCACATTGCCATACCTGTCTAAAAGTAGTGTCAAAGGAGACTGCCATTAATTAGAAGAAAGAGTAAGAAATAAATGATGAGCTTAGCTCAGAAGAATCCAGTGATTGATTGAGGGTTGACTCATAGGAATGGCATGTGCAATAATGTTAATGTTCCATTTGTTCTCTATCCCTTTCTCTCTTTCAGCAGGTGGCTACTCAGGCTACAGCCAAGACTCGTTCTTCCCAGTTTGGTGTGGGCAACTTTCAGACTCCGTCCTCCTTCAGCCCCATGTCCCTTCCTGGTGCTTCTACTGCATCACCTGGTGCTGCTGCCTACCCTAATCTCACCAATCGTGGATCCAACTTTGGTAAGTTTCAGATGAGAAAGGAGGGTAAACAGGAAAATGACACCACTAAAGAGAAAGGATTTGGTAGTTAAAACAGTTTGTTTGTGTCCTGGGTGCAGTGACAGTCCATTTGGAATTTAAAATGTACCCACATGAGGAAGACTTTAGAACATATTAAAAAACTACATAAGGTGGGGCACCTGGGTGGCTCAGTCGGTTGAGTGTCTGCCTTCAGCTCAGGTCATGATCCCGGGATCCTGGGATTGAGTCCCACATCGGGCTCCCTGCTCCATGGGAGGCCTGCTTCTCCCTCTCCCACTCCCCCTGCTTGTGTTCCCTCTCTCGCTGTGTCTCTCTCTGTCAAATAAATAAAAAATAAAATCTTAAGGGCGCCTGGGTGGCTCAGTTGGTTAAGTGACTGCCTTCGGCTCAGGTCATGATCCTGGAGTCCCAGGATCGAGTCCCGCATCGGGCTCCCTGCTGCTCGGCGGGGAGTCTGCTTCTCCCTCTGACCCTCCCCCTTCTCATGTCCTCTCTCTCTTTCTCATTCTCGCTCTCTCAAATAAATAAAATCTTAAAAAAATAAATAAATAAAATAAAATCTTAAAAAAAAAACACATAAGGTATTATATATTAAATAATAAGCAAATTTAATCTACATGATCAAAGGACTCTTTGGAAAGGCTACCCAGAGAAGAATTAATTTGGGGCTTTTGAAAAAGAAGAGGCATTGATTAACAGAAGAGCAGAAAGTATTTAAGTGCTGGTTTCTCCTCACGAGGGGAGTTAGTGGCTTAAGGTTGGTTGTTCATCCTTGCTATATTTCTAGCTCCTGAGACTGGACAGACTACAGGACAATTCCAGACACGGACAGCAGAGGGTGTAGGTGTCTGGCCACAGTGGCAGGGCCAGCAGCCTCATCATCGGTCGAGTTCTAATGAACAACATGTTCAACAGCCATCAGCACAGCAACCTGGCCAGCCTGAGGTCTTCCAGGTGAGAGGGTGAAAAGACTTCAGAAAATCAGAACCTGGAGGAGAAAGGGTCAGGAAGCAGAGACAGAAGGAAGTATGCATATGGACTGAGGTGTTTGGGAGTTCGTGGGAGAAGCCAGAGTGGGGACGTGTAGGGATAGATGTTGTTAACTGGAACTTATGTGTGATGCACAGCCTTTAACCAGACCATTGTTAGTGATGTGAAGCACCATGTGAAGATGTTAAAGGAAGTCATTCTAGCCCATTCAAGGAGAGCCACATCCCCACTGCACAGTAGCTTGGGTATAAACATACTGATTGTAGCTATAAAGGCCCATTTGCCTAAGTCCTGACGGGACTGCAAGAGCACATGGAGTAATCTTAGGACAAAAGAAGAGCTCATTTAAAACACAGGTTGAAAGAAGGCAAAACAGGTTTTGGTGGAAAATGAATAGGGTAAGAGGTACTGCATATGTGTTCATAGGGGTTATATGAAATGTGGTGAGCAGATTTTTCTCCTTTTGAAAATATGGAAGACTAGAAAAGAGGAAAAATGTGGAACTGTAGGAGGAAGCCAGAGAAGGGACTAGGAACCAAAATTGTTATGTAAAGGAATCCAAGAGTTCCTGGGAGTAGGGAAGGCTCAGGGAGCTCAGCCCCACAGAAACTCTGTGGGGCTAGGGGTGATGTTGGGAAGAAGCTCGGTAAATGTGAGGGACTAAGGTTTGTGACCAGACTTGCTCTGTTTCTCTTATCAGGAGATGCTGTCCATGCTGGGAGACCAGAGCAACAGCTACAACAACGAAGAATTCCCTGACCTAACTATGTTTCCCTCCTTTTCAGAATAGAACTATTGGGGTGAGGATAAGGGGTGGGGGAGAAAAATCACTGTTTGTTTTTAAAAAGCAAATCTTTTCTGTAAAGAGAATAAAAGTCCCTCTCCCTTCCCTTCCCTCACCCCTAATGTGTACCCCCTTCCCCTTTGGGCCTTTCCTTGCCCTTCTGCTTCTGAGATAACATTTGTAGAAGAAATGGGGCAAATCCTGAAGGCTTTGGGGATCCTTTGAAAACTGAGGCTGGGTGAAGTTAAGAATGCCTTTCCTTATGTCTCCTGACCAGAGATTTGTGCAGAAATGATTGTGCTAGGGTCAAGAGGCAGGTTGGAGAACCTGGCATCCACTATTTGCCTTGGATACTGTGGCTTGTTTTGGAAAGAAATTCTGAATAAGGTGGGGGAAAGGAGAAATGTCTTCATATTTGAGGATCACGAAACATGGTAGGTATATGTAGGGCTTCAGGAAGTGAGTGTAGGCTCTTTCTGCTGCCTGGTGAGTGAGGAAGTGAGAGAGGAAGAGGGAGAAAGAGAGAGTGTGTGTGTGCACACCCATATATGTGCACACGTGTGTTTCTATGTTTGTTTTTTTTCTCCCTATTAGGGAGTTATGCAAAATTTGTCCCAGATTTTATCTTTGTTTTTCTGTGTATTCTTCAAAGAGTCCTAAGGAGTTAAATCTTCTAGGTATTTTCCACTTAGTATTGCAGCCAAAGAGTATTTAAATAAATGTCTTTGCTGCACTTACATCAGTGCCCAGCCAGTATGCAACTGTAAGCACATATATAAAGTCTTCTGTTGATATGGTTGGTCTCTCTCTCATCGAACATATTTAGTGGTAAAGCTGGGTCGTTCCTGCTTTTGGTGCTCTCACCTTATATGGAAGATCTGTAAACATTATAGGTGTTTAGGGTGGGAAGATAAACCCCTTTCAAAAGCCCCATACTTGGCCGTACTTGCTGCATTTTTCTGTCAGAATCACATATGATGTGTGTTCTGTAGAGGTTATTTCTGCATGGAAACTCAACTTCTTGGATTAGCAGTCCCAGTGAAATCTTCACTGCTGGAGTTCAAACCAAATACCAAGCCTTTTTGCAAAGTAGCCTCTTTCATACCATGCTCAATTCAGTCTGGCTAGAAACTGAGACTTAGGTCTTTTCTGGACCTATAGTTCTTCCTTTTACTCCCTCCAGTCTTAAGATTGGATTTTGCTTTCTGATGCAAGAGTATAAATCCATGTGATAGATGGGGCCTGGACTCCCATTGTGACAGGGTCACTGAGTTAACTATAGCCATATAAAATGCAGATAGCGGTTACTCCTCTCACTCTCTACCTTCCTCAGGTAACAGTCGTATGTATCAGCCTTTTTTTTTTTTTTTTTTTTGATTGGCTCAGGCCAGTATCTTAAGTGCAAGACTGAATTAAATAAGGAGAAGACGTATTAAACATAGCCATAGGAGACCGAGGAGCACAGTGGCCTTAGAGAGGCTGAGAGAGCATCATTACTGGGTTTCTCTCCCTTTTGTCTCCAAAACAGGTAGTTTTGGTGTTGAAAACCTCTGGTGCCAGGTAGTGGAGTTGAAAAGGAGACAGTTTATTTTTTTATTCTATGTGCACACATACCGTATACATATATATTTATATCACAATTTGAGAACCAAAAAGTTGAGTTTCCAATGGAATCCTTGTTTTTTAATAATTGACTGTTTTTAAATGTGATCAGGACTATAATATTGTACAGTTATTATAGGGCTTTTGGGGAAGGAGAGGGGAGGGCGAAGATGCTCTGGGGGTTTTGTTTCTGCTTTTCCTTCAGGGTTTTATTTTTGATTGTTTTGTTTTTTTTCTTGTTGGCCGTTTCTGTACTGCTGGCATCTGTGCTGAGCTTTACAGTGGCAAAAATAATGACATGTAGCAAAGATTTTAAAATATTTTCCTTTTGTAAACTTTCTTGTGTTGTGTGATCTTGATTGCGGCTTTTATTATTCCTTTCCAGCTCATAAACAACAAATACCCACAACTAGTTGAATCCATAGCTTGAACTCCAAATATGCAGACATAAAGCACAGTGTGTCTATAATTTCAGGATTCAGAAATCATAGGGCTCTGATCACTCAGCACTCCTTGATTGTCCTCCTGATCCTGACTCATTCTGAGTAAAATCAGCAGGGACATCTGACCATGAGATGGGAGTTGGGGAATTGCCCAAGTCCTCCACAGGAGACAGAGATGGGACTTGAGATCAGTATGGCACATCGGATCCCTTCCCCCTAGTAGGTCTTGCTCTCCTGGATTAAAAGGACTTAGGGATGGGGAAATTTAAACTATTCAGGTCTGGACTTGGTTTCCCTCTAGGACCATATGGTTCATTAGCAAATCTTAAAACTTACAGGCATAAACCTGTGTTCTTGAGGGTCTATGTATGCAATCTTGGTGGAACTGAATCTGTCCTATGTATTATCTTTTCTGTTCCAAGGACCATCTTTTCCTCTTCCCCTATCTCTATTTATGGAAGAAAATGGGAGTTTGGGGATGTGGTTTAGGGACTGAACTAGACTCTTATGATCTGTCACATGCCTGGATGTTGGAATCATTTGGAGAAGCTCACATGACTGGTCTTGGATCAGGGATTTTAATAATTGAAACAGATAGTGTTCATCAGGCATCCCACCATCTGAGAATTTTAGCAACAAAGAAGTCACATGTGAGTTTGTCAGTGCTTATGGCATTGATTCAAGTAAAGTCATTAATAACTCGGAGTACTGTTTCTTTTTGGGTTTTTGTTGTTGTTACTTTTAGAACCAGTTTCATCTGGACTTTCTGGGCCTATCCTTCCTCAGCAAAACCTTATTAGGCTGGGAGCGCTACTGACAACTTTTAGCCAACAAGCTTATAAACTACAAGTGATTTTGGAGCCTTTGGCTTCCTGCATACTCTTTTCTAGTCTTTTGTATTTATTCCCTCATCCTTGCTGTGAGGGTCAGACACAAATTTGAAAACTAAGGTTTCAAAGTTGGAGAGATGGGTGATAACAGGAAAAGGACAGGAGAAGATGTAATTCCCAATATAATAAATACAATAAAGAAGGATGGGGGAGACCAGGACTGTGTCCTATTAACCATCAAAGTGAAGGTAAGCCCCAACTTGTGTAATGTGTATTGAAGTCTTTTGTCTGCCCTCAAAGACAGTCATGTGAAACTAAATACCCAGCAACTTTCCACCCTGGCACGCACACTCCATACTCACCCAGATACACTGCAAGTCCGCTGCCTCCTTCCGTTCCCAACCCTGCTTCTCTCAGCATTTCTTTCCCCGCCTCCCTCCCCTATTCAAATTTTCCAGCCCACAGCTGAAACTGACTTCCGTAATCCTGATGGAATAAATCCAGCACCCCTAGTTCTCCGCCCACATATCCACACTCCCCAGCGAACGGAGCCCAGAGCACAGATCCCTATCAGAAGGTAACATTTTCTACTTGCTAGATCTTTTAGCTTCTCATTCCTTCCTTTCTCCATTTTAGGGATATTAGGGATGTAGTGACTTGGGGATAGGTTGAGATTTGTAGGCTGTGTAGGTGAAAACAGCAATATGCCCATCTTGGGTCATTTCCTGGCCAAATAAAATTTGCCTGGAAATCTTTAGGATTTCTGCTACGATTTATATGTATGTATACATAGTTGTTAGTGAAAGCTAAGGATATAGGGAATCTGCCCATCCCTTAAAAGAGTGGCCTCTCCTTGTAGGGTTTTCTGTTTTGGCCAAAGATACCAAAAGGGTTAACTTGCTAGCGGGGAGGAGGACTGGTGCCCAGAGGTGCTTTTATACACTGTCTCAAAGCCCTTAACTCTCCAGATATTAAATGTCTTATTGAATGTTTTGCCAGTCTACAAAGATTACACAAAAATGGGACTGTAAAATCAAAAATGATGCAAGCTATATAACTTGCTTTGACTGTAAATTGTTCTTAAAATGGGGAACATGGAATTAAGCAAGCCGCTGTAAGAAATGAGTGAAGCTAGAGTAAACTTCTGAAAGCTGTGAATTTAATGATCATAGAACACTACTTTTTTGTCTTACATTCTTCTAACAAACTTTGGTTCTGAAGCTTTTTGGCCTGTGAGGCAATCACAGAGATTTTTTGTTGTCGGAAAAAGAAAAACTTTACTGCCCACAGCATCTGGTTGAGATTACTGGCAGTTTCCTGCCTGGGGAGGGAGCAGGAAGAGAAAGAGGAAGAAATGCCTAAGACGAGACAGTAAACATCTAGAATATAGGAGATACTGTCAGCTGTTTCGGGTCCTCTCCTGGCAAGATCTGGGAAAGTATCAGAATTTAGGGCAAGGGAGTAAATAATGCCTTGAAGAAATGGTCAGGAAGCAAAACTTAGCTGGAAATCTCTCCTTTGTGTATTCTCCAACCCCCTTCCAACCTCCAACCTTGTCCATCTCCTTCAAGTCTGCAGGGGACATTGGAGGAAACAGGTGCCGAGTCCATTCTGATTGTCCTTTTTCTATCCCATTTCTGGTTTTCTGTGTGTGTGTGTGTGTGTGTGTGTGTGTGTGTGTGTGTGTGTGTGTAAGTGTAATCTCCCTAGGTCAAAATACCTGGAACCAAATGTATCAGCACCCAGTCCAAACCCAGACCCTTCCTATCATTGTTTATCATATGCAAATCACCCTCAATTCTTTTATTCTTATAAATCCTTGTTTTCCTTTGCATCATGGTCCCAAGGAAGGCGTTCTTATCTTTGGGTTCATGAATTCCTCAGAATTATTGTGTGTGCATGAATTTTTCGGATGAGTGGGACTATAATGGGTTACAATATTTTATTAGCTTCTCAAAGGAGTCCATGACTCCCAAAGGTTAAGAACCACCTGTCTGGGAATATAGCTCCAGCTGTTTCCTCATCCCAAGCCAGGCTATGAACCCCTTGGCAAACAGAAGAATCTCCTCTAATTATCCCCTTCCCCAGGATGTGGGGGCTCGAGGTTCTGCTGCTGCTGCCCATGGCAAGCTTTGCTCTATATCCTGAGGAGATACTGGACACCCAATGGGAGCTATGGAAGAAGACCTACGGGAAGCAGTATAACAGCAAGGTGCCTGGGGACCTAGAGGGGAGCATGGTCGGGGAGCTGAAACTGGAGACCTCAAGTCTTAATTTCCAGACTCCCTTCTTCAATCTGAATACCTTAACCACTCCAACCAAGGAAACCTGCCCCTGTTCTCTAACTTAACATACAGTTTCATTCCTACTCCTTGACTCACCCTCCCTCAAGTTCTGACCTTTTCTTTATAACTGTCACATTTCTCTTTGGGGAGGGCTTCTCAGATTAATGCTATTCATCCATAAGCAATTTTCTGTACATCTCTCCAGAGCTTTGCATTCTATTTTTTGTATTTGTTTGCATATTTCTTTTTGTATGCTCTTAATAATTCCGTGGTGAGTTCCCCAACTAGGCGGTAAACTCTATGATTTTAAGTTTCATCTTCTAAAAACCTCCACATTATTACTTATGTAACTTTATACACAGGACACAGTCTGTGCCAGTATTGACTATGCTCTGTTTAGGTGGATGAAATCTCTCGGCGTTTAATTTGGGAAAAAAACTTGAAGCATATTTCCATCCATAATCTTGAGGCCTCTCTTGGTGTCCATACATATGAACTGGCCATGAACCACTTGGGGGACATGGTGAGTTGAACCTCAGCTCCTGGCCTACTTGCCCTGTTTGCCTCAGTTCCCTGCTAATGCCTTGCCTTTTTGTTCTTTGTCCCAGACGAGTGAAGAGGTGGTTCAAAAGATGACTGGACTCAAAGTACCCCCCTCTCATTCCCACAGTAATGATACCCTCTATATGCCAGACTGGGAAAGCAGAACTCCGGACTCCATTGATTATCGAAAGAAAGGATATGTTACTCCTGTCAAGAACCAGGTACCCTCCTTTCTCCTGATGACCTCTTTCTGCTTCTTTGTTCTTAAGGTAGGAGGGAACTAGGAAGAGGGGGTAAGGAATTAAGTGATCTCTCCCAGTGCTAAGAGAATATAGCCTATTCTGTTATTTAAGTCATTGCCTATTTTTGTACATTTATGTTTCTGTTTTTTTCTTTTTTACAAGTAGTCTTGCTGTAAACACCCTTGTGCATATGTTTTCATGTACATGTGCAAATATTTATGCAAAATAAACCCAAAATTGGAACTGCTAGGTCACAGAGAACCATTTCCAAAAAATTTTTTTACGATCTTAACACTCTAACCAGCAGGAGAATGCCACTTTCCCCTCAGTCTTAGCAATGCTGATTATATCAACTAGATCAACAACTGAGTTAACATTCATCCAACAAACATGTTTTTCAGAACCCACCAGGTACAGTGCTAGGCAGTGAAGATTCAGGATGACTAAGACATAACCCGTGTCCTCAAGAAATTCTCAGTCCTAAAAAATAGAACAGGGAAGAAAGAAAAATGTATTATCTAGCTGAACAAACACTAATAGTAATAGCACTTTTTGAGAGATTGTTGTGTGTCAGAAACTTCTAAATCCTTTACATGAATTAACTTTTTAAATCTCCATAATCCATAATTGAGCAGTTTTCCACATTTTACAGATAAGGCACAGAGAGGTTTAGTAACTTCCTCAAGGTCACAGATCTTCTGGGTTGCAAAGCCAGTGCTCTGCCCCCCTACAGCCAATGGTAACAATGGTAACAACAGTTATCAATGCAAACAAAAACAATAGAAAAATGTAACAAATATTAAACAAAGAGAAATAGGAAGACTTCACAGAAAAGGGGACATGTGTGCTGGAATTTCATCAGGCAGTTTAGAGGGAAGAAACAAAAAGGTGAACAGCAGTGATTGATAATTGCTCTGTTATGCCTCTCAGGGTCAGTGTGGTTCCTGTTGGGCTTTTAGCTCTGTGGGTGCCCTGGAGGGCCAGCTCAAGAA